GGGACGATAAAAAAGGAACTAGGAATAACGGCTATGCTTTTAGAAAAGCACTCTAAAATATATCATGCATTCTTGCATTCGGAGTTGTACATACTCCTTTTTTAAAAGCGTTAATAATGGCCTCCGGTTTTCAAAATTCAATTATGTAACTATTTTTATATTTTCTTCGTATTTTTTTATGTCACCTACTTTTCATAATGAGGACCCGAATGAGACGATCTCCTGATGTCCTAATTTGATACTACTTATATATGTACAAAATTTAGGGTTCATAATAAAGACAGTCGTTATTCTAGCTCACTTGTACTTATTTTTTCACGAATTTTTATGAAAAAGTTGATGATAAGTTTATCCTATCTACATTTAGCGGAATCGGATTCTTTTTGCACTTAAATAAACTGAGCTTAAGAATCAAAGGATCTGGACCGTTGAAATTTGATCAAATGGCTACAATTATTATAACTTTTAGAAGGGTCACTTGTTTACAACCGTTGTATCAAATTTCAACAACCCGGATCATTTGCCCAGGAGGCTGAGTTTATTTGGATCCGGAGGGATCATGTTCCACATTTAGCTCACTTGTCTTATTTTTTTCACGCATTTTTATGAAAAAGTTGGTGACAAGTTTATCCTATCTACATTTGCAGGGATTGTGTCCACATTTGCAGGGAATTGTCGAAGGCTAAATTATATGAATGTGCAATCATCACGAAAAAATTTGAGATTTTCTTACAAAATTAATTGTTGAGAAATAATTTAACTTACTTATAAGATAATGTAAAATATTTTCTTTAATTAATGTAGGATTTATTATGAACATGCCTCTGTGCAACGAATTTTCAAGTTCAACATGTGGTCAACACACAACAAGAATTTTCAAGTCCGACACTTGATCAACACAAACATAATAACATAAAACATGTGGATAATACAAATAGAATAACGTGAGCATATAGTAAAATAATGTGAAGTGCGTATAATCATTTAACTTTATAAGCGGGATATAGGCCAGCGCATGACTTGATTGAGCTACCATTATGTAATTTTTTCTGAATTGACCAGAGATGCAATCGTACACTTCCGCCAATTCCCTTGAATATGGTACTCGGAGAGATCATGTCAGATAGCTACAGAGATCAGATCGCACAATAATTGTTCAGCAGCCACTGCAATTTCAGCCAACTAGCTCTTTCATTCAAAGTATATGAGTAATCACCACGCCATCAGTCCTATAAATATAACAGAATATTTGCCCCTACTCCAAATACCAATAAATATACCTGTTATCAGTCTTACCCCTTGAAAACAGTTACCTGAAAATGATGAAGAAAATGTGTACGTGGGTGTTTGTTACTTTCTTCAGTTTTTCCTGTTTCATTTTTTAATGGTACAATCTATAAAAAAAAAAAAAAAAGATTGAAAGAACAGAAGGTCAGAGGATATGTGGGTTTGGACTGTGATGCAATCTTTGAAACAAAAGTTGAACCTCTTTTTCTTTCTTAGCAACGTGCTCATTTAGAGTTTCTCATTGTATTTTTTCAATGCTTATTCTTATTATGTAATGTTTTATTATGTTTTGAAACCGTTATTTTTAGAATATTTTTTTTCGTAAGAAAAAATTAACTATATCTAAAATTGTCTTGTCAATCCTTCTCTACTAAATCGTCTACTCTATTTTCTAGCTCACCTTTACAAATTTTAGTTGCCTTTTTGCAAAGTTAATCTTCATATGGTGATCTATAAAGCAGATGATTCTATCACTAAGCAACATTGTAGGATAAAAAAAAAAATGAAAAAGTAAAATGAGAAGGTTTGAATGAAAATGTAGCTAACATCTCCTCCTCAATCATAGTGAATAACTCATATAATATGGATTACAATGTACATGATGGGTGGTTAGGGATTCCTTCTCCAAAAGAAACATCTTTTGGCATGTTTCTTGGATGGTTATCGATTCAGGCACAAGGAGCATTTGTCCAAGAGTTTGTTCAATCAACTGTAGCTAATTTACTTTTATAAAATTAGAGTTGGGTACTTAAGGCAATACTCAATAATTGAAGAGATTCTCTAGCCCTTGTCCTTATACAAGGAACTTGACTAAAACTCAAATAGATAAGTTTACATATGTTGGTCCATAACGCTTTGATGTGATATAATTATCTGGAAAACAACACTAAGAAAGATAAGAAAGAACACACCAGACATCTTAACATCATTGTCAACTCACTACTAAGAAAATATCATTGTGCTGACAAATTCTAAACTGACAAAGCAAAATTTCAGAACTATTATGAAATTAAAGTACTTCTTTAACCGTTCAACTGTGACTGAGGTCGATAGAAAAAACAGTCTAACAATAAGATATCGTATTCGCAATTTAGTTTCCATTATAGTAATACGTTTTAAATTATGTAATGTGTCTTGTTTTTTATGGATCTTAGCCTAACTTGCAATTTGGTGGGAGTACTAATATATATGGCTCCATTTTTTTTTTTTTTTAATTTGGCCACAAAGTCCGTTCCACTCCAGCATTGCTATCATGGGAAGAGACTTTGAGGAGAATTTATTGATAAACAAAAAAAATACAATATGTCAGGAGGGACATGAGGCCAAACCTATGGCTCCATATAGCTAATGCATCTTTTAAGTTAACAGCAGACATATGTCATTTAGTACTACAATTTAATGGTATTCATCTTCACTTGTAAGTGAGAGATTAGGTTTGATTCTCGCCAAAGGCGAATTTGAACCACATTATTGCTAGCCCATTGTGAGGCTTAGCCCACCCCCTTCCCCTTAGTGTAGACAATATCGTTTGTTTAAAGAAAAAGTCAATAGTAGACGGCTTCAGTTAATTTGACGCACATCACAGCCTAACCCATTTCTACTAGCCTAATTGAGCTTAATTATCCTCCTCTTGTAATTCCACCCACAATAAAAAGTTATATAATTAAGACGCTATTTTCCTACCCACTATTATTTCTAAAATTCCCTTCTCATGAGGGCGTGAGTTTTTTTCTCCCTTAGTCGTCGTTTAGGATTTTGAAGTCTTCTTGTGTTCCTCTTTATGTGAAGAAATTTGAAGTTCCACTAAGTCTGACAATAAGATAGTAAAATGCATGTAAATTTGTCCCATTCCTTTCATTTTCCCTTGCTTTTCTTCTTATAATCCCTTTCGCACGTACAACGAAACAATCTTATGTAAATAAGGTTTACAAGTAAAGGGATTGACTACAATTTACAAACAATAAAATTACAGATACCAAATTCACTGTGCAAGAAAAATTGAAAACAACAGACTGTTCAGAAAAAGTATAATTATCCTTAAAATTGGAAATTTTAATATAGCGTCAACAAAGAAGAGTAAGAATCTACAACAACAAGAATAAAATATTATCCTACTAAGTGGGGTCGGCTATATAAATTTTAGAACGTTATTGCGCTCGGTTTTATGTCGTATTTTCTGTAAGATCCAAGTAGTCCAAATCTTTTCTTAGAATCTCTTTAGACTGCTATATTTTAATGGAGCATGGATCAATGAAAGAAAAGTCGGAGGAGTGGGTTTAATTGTGAGGGAAAAAAGCTGGAAGTTTTGTGGCGCCATGCTGCAGGAATTTCCATGATGTATTTTCTCCTTTGCAAGCAGATGCTTTGGCTGCGAAAGAAGGTGAGGTTTGGGCCGCGGTGAGGGATTTTCGAGATGTTTTGATTGAAAGAGATTCGCTTCAGATCGTTGAAGCTTTGAATGACTTTGTTTCCTGCAATCACTAAGGATTTGTGTGCCCATATTTGCCGCCAAGCCAATAATGTGTCGTTATAGCCCAAATATTGTCAGCCGTTGTGAATGGATTGGAAGTCCTCCCAATTTCATTGTAGACCTTCTTGTCTCGAGGATTGCATTTCTCTGTAATCTTGCTTTCATGGCTTTGGCCTGTTATTGACTTGGTCTCGTGAATCAACTATCGTTTTTATAGAAACAGTAATACTTAGTATTCACTGGTGATCAACTTATACATTTTCTTTATGATTTGTCAAACGAAAAAATGTCACGTTCCTTTTTTTGTTTTTTTTAGGGTAAATTACATTTTACCCCATCAGGTTTAGGGTTGATTTCAATTTCTTACAACATTTTTGAAACATTTAAATTTCCTATATTTACTTATCATTTATTTCAATTTCATACATCCGTTAGAAAATCTGTTAAGTGATGACATGGCAAATATGAGATCCACATTTATGTTGACGTGACTGTCAAATTTATGCCACATGACAAAAAAATAATTTACCCTAAACAAAAAAAAAAAAAAAAAAAAACCAACCCAGAAACCCACCCCACCCCCACCTCCCCTGCAAATCCCATCCCCCCCCCCCCCCCACCCACTCACCACAACAACTCCACCGCAAGCCCCCCCACTCACCTATGTCTTACCTTCTCCCTCTCCTCCACTCTCTTCACCTCCCCTCCCTTCTCTCTCCCCATTTCAACCTGCATCCAACCTTAATCTCAAAAAATAAAAAAATGGAATATTTGAATTTTAACTTTTACTCTTAAACGAATATTTGAATTTTAGGCACATTTGACTTATTATTCACATTTTTATACGTAAATGAAGCGACATATATCTCACTTAAAATGACCATATCCTTTAAACAAAATGATTGTTTTTACACAAGTTTTAGTATGTCTATACCAAATTAACCTAAATTATAGATCATGATTTGAACATTAGGTGTAGAGGAAGATTATGTTGCTTTATTTAATTTGGCTAAGCCTAATAAAATGAAGTTAAAGCAGAACGCTTGAGGAACTGATGATTAATTGCATTTCAAACGTAGGGCATTAAAAATACTGAAATTCGTACATAGTACGGCATTACGAAATAACTCACGACGGTGGTACTTAACAAACAAGAACACTAAGAACCATAATAGGGACACGATGTTAACAACCCAACTGTGAAGGCCATTAACTTATTCTAGCTAGTTCCACACTCGTATCAAAGTACCTACGTCCATGCATCCACTGATAATTAAGTGATAAGTGATCAGCTCATCACTAGCTTAATTAATTAGCTAATTAACAATGTTTAGTGCAAAAGCATCTACGGCGTAAGCCACGACAATTGCCTCCGGGGAAGCCCTCTGTTTGGCAAACAGCAGCACAGTTACTTTTACTCACGCAGGTTCCTTTGAAGCGATTACTCTGAGACTCGCAGGTCCTACCCTCAGCAACCATCGTCCCTTTAAACAATTATTCCAAACAATAAACGGTTAACATGCATGCTTAAAATCGTAATAGTATATATTAGCGACGAAGTTGTTAACAAGATTGAGGGAAGAGAAATATTACCGGTGGCCACCAAAAGCAGCAGGAAGACGAAGGCGGTTGGAAATAAACGCATGGAACGCTCCATTTTATATAATTTATATGTATCCATAGTCGTAACCTAGCAGCCCTTATATAGACTGGAGATTGAGAAGATAAGATATGTGCATGTGCTAAGCATTATGACTGATGTGATTGGGCCATGCCGTTCACAAATATACGACGACAAAGAAAGAGGGAAACAATAGGAGCCATGCATTTTTCTGTGCTCAAATGAATGAGTGAGTCAGTACTTGCTGCAGTGGCATGTCTCTCTGTCCTTTTTCCCCACATGACGGCAACTAATCCAAGTTTTACAGTGCTGTGAAAAATGCTTCTTTTCTTCGCTGCTCCAATGGTAGTCATCAGACTCATCACTTAACTTGATCATGAACACGTTACAGCTAGTTAGGCTTTATAGTTTAGGGTTTAGCCATCTCCAAAATCATAACCAGGAAGATTGTTGGAGAATCGAGAAGCTTGAATTTAATTCATTATTTAGTACGAGAGAGAAGGAGACAAGTACTCTCTAAATTGATTACCACAAGCACTACCGGTAGTAGCACAGGGGCCAGAAGTTTAGATCCGCCAATCTTGTTGTTACATACCAACTAACGTGACACCAATCTTGATGTTACACTCTTATTAAGGTTGGCTAGGTCATTACAAAAAATTGTCTCGAAAATAATTTCTGACCAAAGGCCATGATTAAAATAGGTGTGCAAAATTAAAAAAAATGAGCCACACTAGCAACCATTGTCATAAAGTTATGCAAACCCTAAATTATTTCAATGGTAAAACTTCAGAAACATGTAGAATTAGTACTGAAGCTTTGTGGGAACATGTAAAATTTACCTCTTTTCTAACCTCACGTCTTAGAGACGTGGCAGGCCAATGACCTTTGCCTCATTCTTATAAAATAAGGTCAAAATAATGTCCTCATTTAGCATCTACATGGGAGAAATTTTTTAGTGTGTCAAGAACAAGATTCGGTATACTAAGTTTTATAATATAATTGATTGATTTTTTTTTTTTTTTTTGAGATGTCCAACCAATTGTATTATTTTACTTAGTGTAATAAACCGTGATCCTAGTACAGTTGCAAACGGTAGGGTATTACAAAGACGTTGTTCTGAAATACGGAAGTTACATAAAATGAACATCTCCATAAGAGATTACAAAGTAACTCACGCGGTGATAGTTTTTCTTAATAAACAAGAACAAAAGAACAATTAATGATAACCCAACTGTGAAAGATTGGGTTATTAATTTATTCTAGTAGCACACAAGCAAGCACGTACGTAGGTATCCATGCACGGAATGATAATTAAGCGATTATTTCATCATGTCACACATATATATCATACATGTCTGATTAATGATGATCATTTGATCATTAATTAATAGCTAATTAACAATGTTTAGTGCAGAAGCATCTGCGGCGAAAGCCACGACAATGGCCTCCCTGGAAGCCCTCAGTCTGGCAAATAGATGCACAGTTGCTTTTACTATGGCAGTGTCCCTCGAACTTGCGGCTGTGAGCCTCACAGGTCCTACCCTCTGCAAGCATTGGTCCCATCATCCCTGCCAATTATGGTTATTAAACAGTCCTAAATTAATATGTTAACAAGAGGCAATTTAGCTGGAGAAGAATATGCATATATTTAGGTTACCTGTAGCCACCAAAAGAAGAACAAAGACGAAGGCAGTCGAAAACAAACGCATGGAACGCTCCATCTTTCTATATGAAATATACTATATGAGTTAGATCGATGTGAAGATTAGTGACCTTGCAAGCCCTGTTATATAGAGTTGTTGTGGAGCTGCCTGATCGGTGCTGTGCCATTCAGAACTATCGAGAAAATTATAAGTTACTAATTAAAAAAATAATTTTTATAATAATTTACCCTATTTAAAAATTTAAAAAAAAAAGAAACAAACCCCATCCCACCCCACTCCCACCTTCCCAGCAACCCTCCCACCCCACCCCACCTCCCCCGCAACTCCCCCTCCCCTCCCCACCCCAACTCCATCCCACCTCCACCGCAAGCCCCCCACACACCTATGTCTTACCTTCTCCCTCTCTTCCACTCTCTTCACCTCCCCATATTAACCTACACCCAACCTTAATCCCAAAAAATAAAAAAATGGAGGCCGGTGAAGGTAAGAGTCCAAATCAAACCCATATCAAAAACCCCAATTCAAACAATCCCAAATAAAAAACCCAATTCGGTGGAAACCCAACCAAAAAAATAATAAAAAATTGAAAATATAAACCAAATTCAAGAACAATGGGCGCGGGCAGCCTCGAGAGGTGGAGCAACAGCTGTTTGGCTGTGATATTAGGATTATCCTCGTTGTGGGCGGGTCGAATAGGACCAGAGAGGTGAAGGTGGAGATGTGAGGGATGAGTTGAAATGGGTCGGATCGGGTGGCGGTGGGGAAGTGGGTTGTGGTTTTGGTTGGGAAGGGAGGGGAACAAACGGAGGGGGAAAAGGGGACAGACGACGAACGAGGATGGATGGGTTGGTGGGTCTCAGGGAGAGAGAAGGGAGGGGAGATGAAGAGAACGGAGGAGAGGGAGAAGGTTTTCTGGGTTAGTTATTTATTTATTTATTTTATTTTTATTATAATATTTTTAATACATCTGTCAGTCACGTATCATAAATTTGACAGTTACTTGAAACAAATGTGACAGTTACGTGAGTTCTTAACGAACAAATGGATGAAAAATGTAACGGATATATTATATTGAAATAAAATAGTAGTAAGGTATGATAGTGAAATTTTTTGAAGATGTTGTATGTCATTGTAATAAACCTCAAACTTGAGGTGGTAAAATATAATTTACCTTTTTTTTAACTAACGATATTTTCTACGGATGGGGAGGTGACCTAAGCCTTATAATGAGATATCAATAATGTGGTTCAAATTTGTATTTGACGAGAATTACAAGTGAATAAGAATATCACTAGACTGTAGTACTAAGTGGGCATGTTCTTTGTTTTTTAAAAGATCAAGAAAAATTAATTCACATGTTTATTATACTTTAAAAAAATAATAAAATATGTGTTAAAATATTATGGGATCAAAATAAAAAGTAAATAGGGTAAAATACAAAAAACTACCTCAACAATTGGTGTCACAATACTTTTATACCTTATCTTTTAAAATGAATAATGTCATACCTTATCTTTAGAATTTGTGTCAATGTTATACTTTCCGTTAGCTTGGCCATTTATTTCTCAGTTAAATACTGACGTGGCTTGATCCGAGACTCATTTTTTATTAAAAAATTAATAAAATACTATTAAAAACAAAAAAATCATTTAGTATTATTTAAATATTAAAATAATTAAAAAAAAAGTACATAAAAAAAAATAAAAATAAACCTCTCTTTTCGTCCCTCCCCTCTCTCTCTTCCCCATCTTCCTGCAACCCAGAAAGAAGAAGAAGGAGGAAGAAGAAGAAGAGGAAGAGAAAAAAAAGAAAAAAAAAAAACCCAAACCAAACCCAGTTCGTCCCTCCTCCCCCCACCACAAACCCAACCCCCTGCAAGCCAGAAAGAAGGAGGAGGAAGAAGAAGAAGAAGAAGAGAAAAAAAAAAAAAAAAGCCCTAACCCAACCCGAAGGAGGAAGAATAGGAAGAGGAAGAAGAAGAAGAAGGAGGGAAAAAAAAAAAATGGGAAACCCAGTTCGTCCTCCTTCCTTTCCTTCCCCACCTCCCCCCCCTCCCCGGTGCCCCGCCCCCGCCCCCAAAACTTACCACCCACCTACCCAACTTGTAGAAGAAGAACAAGAAGAAGAGAGAAGGAAAAAAAAAAAAAAACCCAGTTCGTCCGTCCCCTCCCCCCCCCCCCGGTACATACCATCTTCCCTCCACACTCATTCCCTCCCATTTTCTCCGCCCCCAGGTTCTCAACCTTTAAAATCGGCCTGGCGAAGGTTTCCCGATTCCACCTCAATGAGATTTGGGGGTTTTTTTTTTTTTTTTTTTTTTTGGGTTGCAGGTAATGGGTGTGAGGTGGGTGTGGCAAGAAGAGGGGGTGGGGAGTGGGGGAAACAAATTTGTTTTTTTTTCCTCTTCTCTTCTTTTTTTCTGGGTTGCAGTTGTAGAAAGGGGGAAGAAGATGAAGATGGGGAGAAGAGAGAGAAGGAGGGAAGGGGACGAACTGATGTTGGTTTTTTTCTTTTTTTAATTATTTTAATATTTAAAAATGATTTTTTTTAGTTTTTAATAATTTTTTTAATAAAAAATGGATTTCAGATTAAGCCACGTCAGCATTTAACTGAGAAATAATAAACGGCCAAGCTAACGGAAGGTATAACATTGAGACAAATTCGTAAGATGAGGTATGACATTGTTAATTTTAAAAGATGAGGTATGAAAGTGTCGTGACACCAATAATTAAGGTAGTTTTTTTATACTTTACCAAGTAAATATATAAAGTATTTACTAGTGAGTACCTAAATATTATAACTTCTTAACTTATTCCTATATTCACTATTGAAACGACCAATAGCTCATGCCACGTCAATGAAATTAACGTTTTACTCAAGTCAAAGTGCGAAACAAGAGAATATCACAATTGCGAAGAAATCAAATAGAATGGAAAGGTTAAAATGAGATTTTGTATAAAGTCACACCGACATAAATAAAAATAGGTTTTTTAATCAAAATAATTTATGAGATTAATGTAATTCATTATTTTGGTCCTTAAGATTTAAAATTGATAGAATTGTTCTTGAGTTTATCTATCATGAATCATTTGGTCATTCATAAAAAATAAAAAATAAAAAAAATCCTTAAAACAATAATAAAATAACTAAAATATGATTAATATTTTTTTACAACGGCTAAAAATATTTTGGCTATACCGAGACATTGTTACCGTGGCACATGATTACCACAAAAAAAAAATATAGATGCATGCAGTCTAATATCATGATAGATGCATTCTTAATATATTATTAGCGTATTATATGTGTTTATTTGCTTAAGTTCCAAAGTGTGCCAAACGCACGCTTGTTTTATTCCATTAATGCTTAAAACAGTGCAAATACACTCCAAATAGAAAAACTGTCTACTTTTGACACCAAATAAGCTTTTGATCTTTTGAATACTCATTCTTAATGTCTTATTAGCATATTATATGTGTTTATTTGTTTAAGTTCCAAAGTGTGTCAAACGCATGCTCGTTTTATCCCATTAATACTTAAAAAAGTGCAAATACATTCCAAATTGAAAAACTATGTACTTTTAAAACAAATTAAACTTTTGATCATTTGAGTATTCATTATGAGTGTTGAAAATGTGCCCTAAAGACAATCATATGATGATGCTTTACGGACATTTCACATGTTAAACTAATTTAATTTAATATAAAATGTAAAGATTATTGTTTAAAGCCGTCTCATATAAATGTTATATACTTAAAACGATAAGTCCAACAAATATGTAATTGGGAGTTTGTGATCTAAAGAAGTTACATTCATGAGACCATTCTCTTTCGTATACATATCCTAAGCGTTCTTGATCATATGATTGCCAATTGGGCATTGACAGTTCATTAATATCAGTACATGTTATGTCTTCTCTTAGAGAGAATGACTGATCTCGAGTCATTGGTGTGACTGATACCAAGACAAGCATGTAGGTGCTCAATAGAGAATGAGTTCATTGAACGCGGTCAACAAGGAGTTCTCATACTCATGTCACATGAAAACTCATTGTTAGGATAATGCAAAGTAGTCCTTTGATCTGAGGCATCATAGTTGTCTTGTGGTTAGGTCCTTGATCTTTGACTATGTCAAAATCACTCTGTCAAAGGGTGTCCACGACATAGTTGGGGTTAAGCCACTTACCCATGGAGGCAAGTGAATGCACAACAAGGGATCTCTAACCTTCAAACGGTTTGAGGGAGAATACTTTATGATATGATTAAGAAACTCTGGCCAGAGTATGAATGAGATTTAGGAAGTCATTCCAAATCACATTCAAGGTAATCATATAAGTAAGAGAATCACATTGGATAGTAGACATGAATAAACTATTAAATCAAACAATGTGGTCAAGAGTATTTTATTAGAGAAATACCGTATTGCATTGTAATCCCAAACTGAATAGGTTATCCACCTCTTCTGATTAGCTTGGGTAGCCATGACATACTGCTAGGTGTCACTCATGATTTGTGGAAGCCTTAAAGATGTGTGATCATTAAAGGGATAATTGAAAGTAAGTTTCAATTCACAGTCAATTTGAAGAGTTCTAATCGCCCACTGCCTCGCTAAAAGGAATCTAATGGATCGTACACCGTGTAAGGTAGAGATTGAAGAAACAACGGAGATAAGTAAGGAAAATTAAATGGTTTAATGATTTATGGCTAGGATTAATTAATATGTTAATTAATCAAACGAATAAGTTTGTTTTAGACCTCGGGTTAGTTTTGGGCCTCAAGGCCTAATGGGCTTCCAATGTCAAGTCCAATAACTCAAGTTGTATGACAACTTGAAAACATAAAGGGCATGAAAGCCCAATGAACCCACATGGCCGGGCATAGAGAGTGTGAGGGAAAGTTGGTTTTAATTTCAATTATGCCACTCAATGTAAGTGGCTATAGAAAGGAAATTTTAACCTTTTTCCCTCATAAGGGTCTTCTAGAGAGAAGAGAAAAACACAAAAAAAAAAACTCTCTTATCTTAGGAAGCCGACCACCTTAGGAAGCAAGGACTAACATTCATTTCTTCCTAGGTCACTCATATCTTCCTCAATGCTCTCCTTGATGTGGAAACTTTGAGGTTCCCTTTCTTGGGAACTTGGAGAATCCATTCTTTCATTCATATCCAAGAAGTCATGGAGCCAAGAAGCAAAGTTCCTCCATCCACATCCATGGAGCCAAAGAGTAAGAAGACTAAGGAAAGAAGGCCCCCACATGGATGAATATCCTTTGCTAAGCAAAGGAGTGCTTCAAAGGTATAAAAGTTTCTCAACTATTTTTTTTTAAGATTTGAGTTGAATCTGGATTCACCACAACTACTAGGCCTTGAATTTCATATGTAAAGTTTTGTTTTTGAGTGCATACAAGCATGATTCCACATTTAATTGTTAATTGCATGCATAGATGTTGCTCAAATGAACTTATTTTCACAAATTTTTCCTTTACCGAGTTCGAAACCCTTACTTTAAATTATTGTAATAATTTTGAACCTTCGCAGGGCAAATACACTCCTCAATGGTAATTAAATAATAATAATAATAATAAAATTACCAAAGAAATAACGTGAAAAATCGATTCCATCAGTTCCTAGTGTCCAACGTTGGGAAACTTCACAGCAGGAAAAAGGTCACACTTTGAAAAATCTGATCTAATAAACCCGTAATTTCCCATATCCACTTCCAAATTCCAATTATTGATATCAATTCCCGCGATCGAAGCAGCCATCGTCAATGTTCAACAACAACAGCATATCAATCTCAGTCTCCGACGATGAAGCGGACGAGCTCGGCCGGATGAGAGTCCGAGTTCGAAGAAAGCCCAAGAAACTCGGCCAACGACCCAAGCATCGAATCGCTAGAATGCTCGTCAGGTACTGGGCGCTTCTCATTTTTCTTCCGGCCCTCGGGTTGTTTCTGTTCGAGGCTTCCAGGATCAGCAAGAAGCCGAGTTTGGTTGAGTCGGAGCGCAATACGGTGAAGAACCCGAGTTTGGAGAAGAACTCGGATGCGAATTTGAATCGGCTTGATCATACGACTCGGGTTGTTGGAGGCGTTAGACAACGTAAGTTCAATTCTTGCTTAATTTCCATACGTTTGGGATGCAATTGAAAAATGGGTAATCGTAATTTTGTGAAGAACGAGTTAAAGATCTTTACTTTTTATTTTTTATTTTTTATTTTTTTAAGAATATAAAGAAACAATTTTGCAATCTACATAGTGTTATAAGTTTCTTAGTTTCTAATGAAGTTGTAAATTTCGATTACTGTGAGCTAGAATTGTACCTGTTAGATTAACGTGACCACAAAAGTCGATTATCATTTATCATGCATTGCTTGATACCCTTATCAATTTACGATTCGGAGAGATTGTTTTGTTGTTTCTTTAGTGCTACTGATAAATGATAATTGGGTTGTGCATACTGTAGGTGGAAAAGTTTATTCTTGTTAGAATTGGAATATTGAAACATTTTGATGTGTGCCGAAAATTTGTGGATAATGTAGGTTGTTTGGACATTCTATCTCCTGAAGAACTTGAGCAACTCGAAATTCCTGTGCGTGAAGAGTCCGATAGTCCTGTTAAGAAAGTATTATACAGATTAGGAAATGACACTTCGTTTTTAGGAGGGAACAACAGTCTTTCTCAAGAGCAACCAGAGGCCACAAGATTTAATTCATTTACTGGAACTCAAACACTAGATCAGAGAGAGATATCGTTTAAGGTAATAAGCTGCATTTTTGTTTTGAACCTTTGAACTGGTTTAGTATTTTATTTGGTCTTTGTCATGTTAAAGGACAAGTTTTAAGAGGCATCTAATTTCTTTGGGTTTTGATGTAGATGCTATTTTCATTGTGAAGCACATCGAGGTTTTTACTTTGTGCCTGATTTTAAACAAAGATAATAATAATAATGTGTACTATGAGGCAGTGTTCATATAGTTAGAAACTTGTTGCTCACAGGTAAATGAAACTGTTACTATGAACTGTGGTTTCTACAGTGAAAATGAAGGGTTTAAAATCTCAAATGCAGACAAGGAGTACATGAATAGTTGCAAGGTTGTAGTGTCCACATGTGCATTTGGTGGTGGAGATGATCTTTATCAGCCTATTGGAATGTCAGAGGCTTCACTTCGAAAGGTTTTTGTCTTTCAGTCAAATATTACTAATTAGCGGTAGAAGTTCTATACTCTTATGAGGTATTAAATGGATGCAGGTTTGCTATGTTGCTTTTTGGGATGAGATTACTCTAAGTACACAGGAAGCGGCTGAACGTAGAATTGATGGGGATGGATTTGTTGGGAAATGGCGTGTTGTGGTTGTTAAAGATCTTCCCTTTACGGACCAAAGGTTAAATGGAAAGATCCCAAAGGTAACAACTTTCAAAGTTTGGTTAAATTGTTATCTTTTCCTCTATTTTCATTTAGTTTGTTTAATTCAGTTTGAAAATTTTATCCTGATCATGTTGCTATCTTTTGTCATCTGTCATTTTCTTTACTTTTTTATTTTTCCAAACATTTTTGTTTTCATGATTCATGAAGGCTATTGCAACATGGAATCTATTTTCTGTAATTACATTAATAAAGTAAAATATGATAATTTAAGCAGAAGAATATTAGTCAAAGGGGTGCTGGATCTGTTATTCATGATATAGTAGGTTTAAGCTGAATGTCAAATATCAAAATTTCTGTTACAAGTGCTAGGCACATACCACAAATAGGTGTAAGTGGATATTTCTCTGAGACTTCGAATATTTTTTTTTCTGGTGTTAGATGTTGCCCCATCGTCTTTTTCCTCATGCAAAGTATTCCATTTGGGTAGACTCAAAGTCCCAATTTAGGAGGGACCCTTTAGGTGTGCTCGAAGCCCTGCTTTGGCGTTCAAATTCTGTACTTGCGATCTCAGAACATGGAGCACGGAGTAGCGTTTATGATGAGGCGAAGGCTGTTGTAAAAAAAAACAAGGCCAAACCAGAAGAAGTTGAGGTGCAGTTGACTCAATACCGACATGATGGCTTGCCAGAAGACAAGAGGTTCAACGGAAAGAAGGGTATGCTTCTTTTTCTTTCACTTGTTCCGGCTTGATCTCTCTTATGAAATATTGCTATTTATGTCATGATTGTAGCAATTCTTAATTCTTTGAGTACCAATTCTTGAATTCCTTTACTTCTTTGTTGAGTACAAAGTAGGAGTAGTTAAGCCTACTGCATGCATTATTGCTTGCCTTCATTCTTCATGAAAAGTGATGTACTCCCGGGTTTTTCTGAGTGTAATTTTCTGAAAATTTGACTTTGAGAAGAAAAGGCGAAATTTAAAATCAATCTGTTTATTCAAGTTTTCTTATCTGTTTATTCATGTTTTCTTGTCAATCTGTTTGGAATTTAAAACCAGTCTGTTGATTGCTTTAATTCTGCATATTTTGACTTGCTCCTCTGCACATCATACTCATACACGGATGCCAGCAGCCAGTCCGCTCCACATCAGTCTACGTCAGACTCATATTTTCACAATTAGTGTTTAAAGTGTGTTATGATCCCCTTCCTTGCAGTCTGCTGCCACCAAGCTTATTTAGATACTTGAGTTAAGAAATAACCATACTTAAAACTACATGATCTAGAAGCCGGTGATCTCATTGTCTTGAATTTTGTTCCTATACTGAACCATTGCATCGTTAACCTGTGCAGCTTTATCTGAAGCATCTGTTATTGTGAGGGAGCATACACCGTTGACTAATATGTTTATGTGCCTCTGGTTCAACGAGGTGGTTCGATTCACTTCTCGTGACCAGCTTAGTTTCCCATATGTCTTATGGCGGCTGAAAGTGCTCAAGAACATCAACGTGTTCCCTGTATGTACCCGGAAAGATCTTGTTAATAGTATGGGTCACATACGCAAGGCCAAGCCACTGAGAAGTTGACTCTTAGGTAATGGGGTAGTGCTTCCAATTTATTGAACAGGGGTGTACTGGGGCACTCTCGGGCGTACCTGGGCTGTAGTAAATTCCTTCATTTGTTTGTAATTTCAGTTGGCGCTTCCATATTTGAATTTTGTTCATAAACATTTTACAGGAAGAGAAGAAAAAGTTTTAGCTTTAGCATTTGTGTGTTTTCTCCAATGCACATCTAAAGTGCACATGAAACAAGAGTTGTTAGATCCGGTTACAACAAACAATATAACGGCTCTTGTTACAGTGTGTAACTTAAACGTTCACTTTTGATGTGCATTTGCGGCAAGTGTTTCATTTTCTTGGGTCGGATCTGGCCAGCAGGCATGGAACGATTAATTTCTATTACTCGTTGTCAAGGAATTCATCATCAAGATGGATTGTCCTTACGCAGTTAAGGATCTCATACTAATAATGCCAGTGGTGCTAAGGAGACTCTCAAAAGGAGAGTCTCACTTTGAGAGTCTCCTTAGCGTTTTTCTATTAAACATTAGCAAAAATTTTAGGATGTTTCATAGTAGATATGATAAATGATTGGACTCATCACAAACTAATTTTTTTAATGGATCACCAAACTCAACACATTAAGCTTATGGGTGGAAATATTTGAACTCGAAATGACTCGTCTTGTTAACGTGTCAACCATTTGGTTCATGGCCTCACCAACAGAACCGCCACAAACCAAAGCATGAACAATCCAGACCCGTTAGTTAAAATTTTGTGAGCGAATTAGGTCGTGTTAACGGGTTGAGTCCATCTTATCAGCTTTATTTCGAAATAGCGGTATTTCGGATGTTTAACCGTTAGAGTTTGAAATTTGAAATTTTAAACAAAAATCTAATAGTTAAAACACTCGAAGTACCCATTACTCCCGAGTACCTAAGAAAGTCCCTTGCCATTAATAACAAAGAAGTTTTAACGAAAAGCCTGCGGTACTGTTCACTTTAACGAAAAATCATATTTTTACACTAAAAAGTCAAACTTGGTACTATTCACTTTACCCTTTATTTTGTCTTTATAGTTAAAACTCAAAATTTTCAAGCTATTTTCATTAGTTTTCCTTAATAACAAATGAGCAAAATGTGAATTTCTACAAACACTTGTACAAAATTCTACCATGCTACGGTGACACGGACAGCAAATGAAGTTCAACTCAAGACGTCATATTTTAAAAAACAGCTAACTAAAGAAAAGTCGCCAACTGTTTCGTGTAAAGTGTCTACATCATATGAATATTTATACCTTACCAGAAAGATATTGGCAATAAAAAATTGGAGAGGACCTGTAGAGACAAAGCAATGACGTTGATAAAGAAATGTTTTAACATTATAATTAACATATTATTGTTTAAGCCACTGGCTAATAATCCAATGTGCTGCTGCTACTGCTGCTGCAACTTGGACCGATGAAAGCATAGGAACCAATGTGCTCCACGGTCCACCTCCCAATTTCTGTCTAATCTGAAAAAGGCTGAAAATTTGCTTTTTCTTATGAGAGAGTGGAAAACAAGAATATATTCTATTCTACTATTCTACTGTCTTTTGAAATAGGATTCTCTTCGGATTCCTCTTATCTGAATCCTCCGAATTCTTTAACTCTGAAGCTAGAGAGAGAGATGGAAAAGAGGGAAGAAGATGGATAGGAGAAGGTGAACAAGGAAGAAAATAAAAGAAAATGATCAGAAGAAGTGAAGATGAAAGAAGATGAACTAAATAAGGTGAAGGTGAACATGAAATAATTCATTCGATTTTCAGCTGAACGGACATCATTAAAGGGTTCAAATGTAAAAGAACGGAGAGGATCCTATTCCATGTGTTTTGAGCTTTTATTTGGTCAAAAACCATGTCTTTTTTATTTTTTATATATTTGAGTTGTAACTTGGGTTTAGACTTTACACTAGAAAAATCAGTCGTAAAAAAATGGGTAAAGTATAAAAAATTACCTCAATTATTGATGTCATGACACTATCATACCTCATCTTTTTAAAATGATAATGTCATACCTCAACTTACGAATTTGTGTCAATGTCAGATCTCCGTCAGTTTTTCTGTTAATTTTTCTGTTAAGTGCTGACGTGTCTTAAGATGGACTCCACTCCTTAGTCCAACTAAATTAAAAATAATTAAAAATAATTAAATATTATAAAATTAAAAATAAAATTATTTTTTTATATAAAATTGTGGGATCCACCCTCTATCTCTCTCTCCTCTTTCTCACGCCTTTCTCCTTTCTCACCTCTCTCTTCTCTCTCTCTGGACAGCATCATCCCCAAAACCCAGAAACCCTTCCCACCCTTCCTACCTGTACCCCCCAACCTTCATCCACCATCATCTCTCTCATCTCTCTCTCTTCGGTGGCCTAGAAATTGACGAAAGGTCGACATTTTTTCTCCCCAATGCCACAAACTCCCTATCCTCCCACATGAAGCTACTATGCCTCATGCTGTCGGGAATTCCGAAGCTCGGATTCTCTGCCACAAAAACCCGTCGTCGGATCCCCTGACCCCTTCCCTGAAACGTTACGGCATAAGTGTCGGAGCCCTGACCCGAAGAGAGCAAAGCGGATTCGAGCAAAATCTGCGCCTGTACATTATTATTGGCATTAAAATCTCTGTCGTTGATCTAAGCATCAGAATATGAAGAGTTGGGATTGACAAAAAAGCTTGGAACTCTTGGACGTCGTTGGTCTCAGGGTATACGATGGCATCATCTTCGTCATCCTCGTCATTGGCTTTCGAGAAGGGGATGATCTGAGACGTTGGAGAGAGAAGAGACTCTGGGTGATGGCGTGTACTCCATTATTATCTTCTTCTCGACTTCGGCGGGCTTGGATTTGGGTTTCTACTTTGGGGTGGTTTGGCTTCGGACGATGTCGTTCTGGGCGGTGTTGTTGTTGAGGTTCTGGTGGATGGGGGAAGAGTTGCAGGTAGCCCAGGGAGAGAGAGAAGAGAGAGAGAGAGAGAGAGAGAGAGAGAGAGAGAGGAGAGAGAGGGTGGTGGAGGAAGGTTGGGGGGACGGGTGGGGAAGGTTAGGGTTTTCTGTTTGAAAATGGGGAATTAGGGTTAGGGTTTGGGTTCGAAAGGGACGGGAAGAGGTAGGGGAAAGGAAGAGGTGGGGGAATGGAAGAGGTGAGGGATGGGGGTGGGTTGGGGGGACGAGGAAGAGTTTGGGGTTTGTCGAATAGAAGAAGAAGGTTGGTGCGGGTGGAGGAAAGGGGAGGCTCGCACCCCTAGGCCATTATAATTTTTTTTATTCTTAATTTTTTTAATTTTATAATATTTAATTTTAAAAATATATTTAATTATTTTTTAATCTAGTTAGATTAGTGAGTTGACCCCTCTCTAGCCACGTCAACACTTAATAGAGAAATTAGCAGAAAAACTGACGGAGGTCTGACATTGTCACAAATTCATAAGTTGAGATATGACATTATCATTTTAAAAAGATAAGGTATGAAATTATCATTCAACTTATAGTTGAGATAATTTTTTTGTACTTTATCCTAAAAAAATTGATACTAGATAGAACTATAAAGTGATGCAATCATGAAGAAAAAAAAAAGCAAATTGGTTATGAGCTGGAGACCAACTCCTAAAGCGATATCACTCACTCTCTTGTTTCTATCCCTTTAATTTCTTTTTCTTTTTCTTTTTTAATGTGTGGGCACACGAGAAAGAATAAGATTAGGAATGAGGATATTCAAGATAAAGTAGGAGTAGCCGAAATTGAAGGAAAGATGAGAGAAAATTGGTTACGGTGGTTTGAACATGTGCAACGAAGGCTTACTGATGCTTTGGTTAGAAGATGCGATTGCCGGATAGAGGTCTAGGGCCGAAGGGATAGAGGAAGACCTAGGAAGACTTTGGAAGAGACTCTAAGAAAAGACTTAAGAGTACTTAGATCTAACGGAGGATATGAAACAGAGCCGAGCGCAATGACGTTCTAGAATTCATATAGCTGACCCCACTTGATAGGAAAATGTTTTGTTGTTGTTGTTTTTGTTTTGAATTCTCAAATTCAAGACTATAGATGAAATAAAAGAAGTGCGGGTGGAGAAAAGAAGAACTCGAGCAACATGTGCTCTTATGTCATTTAATATGTGTTATTCATATGTCATGTCACAAATAAAATCACTTGCACAGAAATATGTATAGAATACATCTATCGTTGGAGAACAAAACTCATTATTAACGTTTTAAGTTGTTGAACCATTTCACTTGATTTTCATTTGGTTTTGAATCCGATGCTCCAGTTGGCAAATACAAAATGAACAATCTGTCAATCTCCATTTCTGCATCCTTCCTATACGTAGCTTGCATCTGAAGGCAACACCAAGTGGATCCAGTTGCCCCATATCGTGTCTTTCAAGGATACGTCCAAACAAAACAAGATAAGAGCATTTGACCGCCGCCAATATTTTATACTTCTCAGTTCGGAATGGCCCGTGTACTTTCGGCTTTACTTTATGTTGCGCACGCACACCTGGTTTTCCAGTATTTCTGTGTCTATCTGTTCAGCCAACAAAAACACCCCACGTGGAATTTTCCAACCCAAACTCCACAACATATAATCTTACAAGCCCACGTTTTCGAACAAAACTGGCCTCATAAACTTTCCAAAACCAAAACCATAGTTTGCAAATTGCAATGGTTCTCTTGTTGCAAAAGTTTAACCAAATCTGCTCCAAGCTGGAGAATCACCACCACCACAACCACCACCCGTCGCAACCTGCCTTATCGGCATCTATGGAGGCCTTCCAAACCCATGTATCAAATTCCCTCAAAAAATTGTTGCCTCTGAGTTCATCAAAATCTGCAGGATCAGAGATTCCATCATTTCCATGGATTCAGCAGTGTTATGAGCTGGTGCCGATCATCCAAAGTGCTTTTGCAAAGCTGGTTGTGGAAGTAGACTTTCCCATGAGCAGATGGGAAGCTGCTTCTGTGGATAGGTATCTCAAATACTCTTTGAGTTTGTTGGAGCTTTGCAATTCTGTCAGTTCTTCTCTGTCTAATCTCGGGAAGGCTAGGGTTTCCCTAGCTCATGGCTTGAGCCTGGTGGAGAGTTCGTCGCCTTCTTCGGCTTTGGAGCATCTGAAGGCAATCCAATTCCAACCAAAGGGTTTGAGCAAGGGAATCAGATTCCAAGAAAGTGAAGAGGTTGGGAAAGGAAGTTGCTTGATTAGCAAGGAAACAGTGATTCATCAAGCTTTGGATATTATGCAGGGAATGGTATTTTGGGTGTGCGGGATTTTGATGTCTGGATTAGCTGGGAATCCCAAACCATACTTGGAGGTGAGGAATTCAAGTAGAAGGATTGTTGACCCGTTGCTTTCGGGGTCAAATTCGAGACTGGATGAAATAATGGAGAGAAATGGTGGGTTGAAGGAGGTGAAGGAGCTTAATGATGCAGTGGCGCGGCTTGCTGCGGCAATCAGAACTGGAAAAAACAGTGGAGCAGAAGCTGAAGAATTGAGAAGAAGATTAGAGGTGTTTGAGAAGTTCGTGGATGGTTTGGGAAAGGAGGTGGATTCCGTCTTCGACAAGGCTTTGGCTGGGAGAAATCAATTGCTCAATGGCCTTCAACAGCAGAAGAAATAGAGATCAATTGTATAATTTACTGTGTACAGAACATTGTTGTATTTTGATTGATTTTAGTTTGTAAATTAGAGTTTGTATATTGCAAAAATAAAATTAAAACTCGCATTTCAAATGATCGAACCAATGTTTATTTTGTTTTTGAAAATGTAGAAGCCGGATAGACAATAAAACTACAGGACACTTTGTTTTTGGTACATTTCGGGCAGAACCAGCTCACTCTGAGTTCGAGCGGCATTTCACCCTTAACCATGCACAACTCATCCGCGAATTCTTCAACGTCAGTTGGTTTAGACTTCACATAAACGCAGGCCATTTTATGCAACCATAAGGGTTTGGTATTCTCTATAACATTGGTGCATAATTTGAACCTTTCAATTTCAAATAATGGCTGATATTAAGAAACTTCAGAAAGTACTCTAGGTGCTCAAAAGATCTTGATCCAACTACAAAAGGGGAGCTAAAAATTGCAATTTTGAAAACAGATAAGCATTTTCCTTTGTTTCTTTTCTCTGACCTGAAGAAAATACAAACCAAATAGTAAAAACTAACTAGGACATTTTCCTCTTCATCCGCCAAACCTTCCCAGGAAAGGAACTTCTATGTCACCACATCGATGATTTTGGCATCGTCTAATGATTCTACACTCTCTTTTACAAGGTACTGACCTTTCAACAAACTACACTCTCGATTGTATCACCTTCATCTCTAGCATCTGTTGATTCTACAGAAAAGAGAACCTCATAAACAATTACAGACCTAATTGGCTCCCTGAGTCATTGGATTGGGCTTCTCTTTCTGGAGCTTTCCTCTTCCCATAAGCATCACTTGGCAGCCTAGCAAAACGATAAACTAAATGTAAAACCGACAGAGTAAGAGAACAAAGTTCATTTTCACTTGAGACACTTCTTTCAAATCATTTGTAAATCAAAAAATTGTATAAGGAATTAAAGTTGAAGTTTTCTTAACAGGACCAGGGCATATTTCGGTTTACTCATCGCCTTGCAGTACAAAATGGTACAATTGAGCATACAACTACTTATTACAGATGAGTTCGATATTATAATGAAAAATTAAGTTCGTTATTAAGGAAAGAAACAGTACCCTAGCTGCAAGTGGTGTCAGAATCGCCATTCTCAAATGCAAAATTGCTGACCAAATCAGGACTACTTGTGACGCCACGGTTTACAAGGCATTTCCTTTTCTCCACTGGATAATATTCAATAAAAGATCGGACTGTTCGGTCAGTTTGTGGAAACAAACACCGAAGCTCTTCAATCTACATAGTAAGAATATGCCAGAGTAGACATTGCGTAAGAGAAAATCACTCAAGGGCCAGGTAACGTGAAACTGATAAAATTTACATATAGCAAGAAGAATGTTACTTGCCTGTCTGTGCAACGTTTCATTCTCAAGTACAGCACGCTGTTCCTGGGGGAAACAAAATAGATGACAAATTAAAACCTGAATTGTCTCTTTTTATGACACTACCGGCAAAGATGCAAGGTCATGGTGAAACTTTTACCATGAAGCCAAACTTTTTAAACCACAACAGAAGTAATTATAAATGTTAAACTTCCCGGTCTAGATTAGTTACTTTCTTCCTTCTCCTTTCACCTTTTCAATTTGCAGAAGGTTGTGTTTTTTATCATTTTTATCCCTCTTTCTATCCGTCTTTTGCTTTAAATCACTGTTTGTATCCTTAGTTCAAATTCAAAGAAAATGTAGCTCATTTAGAACAATAATATATTAAGTAAACTGAAACTGAAATTCTATGTCTCATATGTTTTGCGGGATTGAATATTATTCATTAGTTCTTTAGAACACTGATTCTTCAACTTGCTGCTCAATGCTACTGCTTACATCTTAAGATTCAACTAAGACTCGGTGCTACTCTGGTACTTCCACATACCTGTATTCTTGATTGCTCTAGTTGCTCCATCAGTAATTGCTCCTGAAATATTAGAACATCTACTTAGGCCTTACAGATTACAGAAATGAGTAGATGTTAATCTGCAATACAATCTGACATCCCTACTGAATAACTTAAAAGAAAATAACGAAAAAGTGGAAATTATAATTTGTACCTTCCTCTCCTTCACTGCAAGTAATCCTTCATTCAATTGCTGTTCTAGTTGCTGCAATTCTTTTAGACTCAAACCAGTCAATTCCTTACCCAATAGCCTTCTACACAATCAGAAAATAATAATCTTATATGCATGACTCCAAAACTCGAAAAATATTAGATCTAATAATTGAGTAAATACATACAACTGTTTCTTTTGTAGATTTGCATATTCATCCTTTAGATTATCCAGCTCCTTGGAGTCTTGCTTCTGAATCTACAAATAGGAGAAAAACAAAGTTGTTGGAAGAAAAAAAACATATAATACGATAATCAAACAAAATTCTCAAGGAAGGTACTGCTTGGATATATGTCTCAACAACAATCATCTCATGCAGGCCAAAGCTTTATAAAAAGAACATCGTGTTTCAATACTTTTTTTCGTATATAGTGCATTGTTGAAACAACTTGTGCAAAAACAGGGTATGTGGCTTCACTCTTTATATATTCACTATTTTGTTTTAAACCTACTGAAAATTTAACATTGTTACCAGAAGCAGAACAATACTTGGAACCTTTCATAATCTTAAACCCAAAACTCTACCAAAGTTCATCGTGTTACCAACTCTATCCACAAGGACCAGAATAATTTTTGGAAATGTTGTAGGAGTTCCTTGCTCCAAAGGAGATTAACATAATTTACCTAGGACAAAAGAACAATTTTGAACATATGAAACATTTGCACAATCATCTGTTGCACTTTGTCAAAGTTCCATAAAAATGACTGACATGCAACAGGAGGACAAGCAAAATAAAGCAGGAAAAACCAAAATAAGACAACAAATCAAAAAATTTGTCCATCTAAAATTTTAAGTGCTACAGTATAAAAGATCAACTAGTGTCAAGTACATAAACTTGTTAAGATGGATACCTCTGCCTTGCCTTCTTCTGGTACATCTTCTGAAGAATCTAAACACTTGTTGTATCTTGAAAGAGTTTGTCTCATACTACAAAAGAAGACCAAATAAACATAACACTAGTGTTCTTTTTATACATGCAGGGCACAGTTAATTTCAACTTCATCGTTTCATATGCACCAACATTTCTAAGTTGCTTCACAAGGTAAATTTTCAGAAAACAAAAATATAGCAGAAAGACAAACATGGTTCCATGGAAATCCGAACCAATATCCGTATTACAAGCTAATCAGCCAAAACATTGCTTCATTCCTTAATTCATATTTAATCTAAAGAGCTACAAAATGCTGGCTTATTGCCAGTGAAGCGTTTCAGATGGATCGATCTGATGGAGGAAGGAAGCACCTTCAACATAGAGTGTAGTGCATCTTTAGAGGAAAATTAAAGGCTTTCTCACAACAGCATTGCATCAGGTATTTCAACAAGGACATAAAAATTTAAATTCAAATTTAATACCCCATTTTAATACAATGTAGCTCGACTTGGACAAGAAAAAAACACATCTGGACATTCCAATCCCTACAATCAACCACTGCCCACTTTATAAGATGCACAAAGGAGCAACAACCAAACAGCAACAGGAGTTTCAACTTTGAAGGAGTTCAAGAAAAAGTGGAAGTTCTTTCAATTCTGCTATCGGATTAAGCACTAAATTCACCAGAGCTATCGGCTGAAATTGGCCTTTCTGATAGTTCAGAAGCATCAACAATACTAGTAGCTTACCAAGGTCCATTGCTGATTCAATTGATCAAACATCATAAAAGTGGAACAGAATCCACTCAAAGTCTCAGAAAAATGCTTGCAAACATGACAATGTTAACCAATAGACTCATATATTTGCACTAACACTTCAAAATTTGTTCATAAGAAGATCACATCATAGGAGAAATCGCCCCCAAATCAACAATTATAAGATTATAGGCAACAGGGTAGGGAAGAATTTATAAGAAAAGAAAACCCTAAGTTCATAAGTAAAATGACCATCCTAGACATTCACACAAACCCAAATAAGAAAAAGGAAAAAGGGGAACAGTAGCATCCACTAGTCCCTAAAACAAAATAAAAACAATAGATACTGAAGAGAAAGAAAAAAATCAACAGTAAAAAATGGAAAAACCAAAACCCGCAGATAAATTCATATTCAAAGACAAAAGCTCTTCCCAAAAAAAGAGTAAAACCATCAGAGAAACATGATCAGAAACACATGCATGAACCTAAAAAATTCAGAAGAAGAAAAAAAGAGGAAATTTTTTACCCACAATTTAAAAAATAAAAAGTAAAAATTCAGAAACGTACCCAGCACTGGAAAATTCAAAAAGCCTTCCAGTATTGGAGAAGATAATAACAGCAACCTCAGCATCACAGAGAATAGCCAATTCCTGAGCTTTTTTGAGCAGCCCAGAACGTCTCTTTGAGAATGTGACTTGTCTGCTATTTGCATTCTCAATCCTTTTGATCTCAATCTTCCCCCTTCCCATTATTTCTCTCAAGTTCTCAATAACCCCTCCAACAATAAATAAATTTAAAAAAAAAAAGCTCAAAAACCCAGAAAAGGAGCCAACTTTAGCAGAAAAACTTGAATACCAATTCAAAATCTTTCTGGGTTTTCTCTTTCTATCTCTCTAAAACTAAAAGTCCAAAAGAAGTGTGTGCTGTTTCTCTCTCCCCACCATCTCTCTCTCTCTCTCTATCTATCTATCTAGGAGGCGTTGTTCGGAGGGTTTGGCTCCTTGGGAACGAGGGGGGTTGCCAAAATTAGATTGGGGAGAAGATAAAGGGGCGTGCGTGTATGTGTGTTGGTGTTGGTGTGTGAGAGAGAGAGAGAGAGAGAAGAGAGAGAAAGCGATTTTACCCCAAATGGCGAAAGCTTGGAAACGGCAAGTTTGCATGGCTCTGTTTACTATTTAGAGAGTGGTTGCATGACTCTGTTTTCCCACATTTGGCATTACGGATCCCACTTTTATTTCTTTACCATTTATTTATTTATTATTATTGCGTTATTATTTTGAGATGGAAACTCTGCATAGTCGGTCTTGCTTGTGGGTCCCACTTGGACGTTTCAAAACTTAAATCGTGAATTGCATGTGGTCCTTTTCTTCTTCACCTTCATACGTCTTCGATATAATCTATGATAGTTTAATATTTGGTACTAGACGTCACTTGGTACTACAATTTAGCAGTTTTTATTTTTACTTGTAAATGAGAAGTTTTATATTTAATTCTCGTTATAAGTAAATTTAAATCACATTACTATAACTAGCCGATCCCATCTCTTAGCATAAATAATATTGTTTTTAAAAGAAAAAAAAAGGTGCTAGGCCTAGGTATAGTAAATCCACTGCCAAAATTTGAGAGGGAAAATTTGTGTGGTTTTTCTATTTTGGCAGGGAGAGAGTGCATGACTAATGCCTTTGCTATCCAATTTGCCACATTTGTATTTGGGCCTATGTTGTGGAGCCCACTTTCGGCATCTCAATTTTTCTCTTTGTTTTCCCTATTTGCCACATTTAGAAGTTTTTTGTTACATTCAACTATTTAAGTGTTTCATTTAGTAAAGCCATTTCCAATTTTAGACTAGATAAGAATTAGCTAGTTGGTTTGGAAAAGCACTTTTGCATTACTTCTAATTTTCGAGAATTGGTCATTGCCTAGTTTGTTTGTAGAAGAACTTTCGCCCTTTTTTTTTTTTTCAAAGCACTTCTTTTCTTTGAAGTAATGGTTAAAGTGGGAAAGGTCTCAATACTCATTTGGCTTGCAGATGATCTTCTCTGGGTTAAGTGATTTTTTTGCTGCATATAGTTTTGGGGTAGAGAAGGGTTATAACTTATAAGTGTATAACATTCATAAATAAATGTGTATAAATATATCATGCATACATGCAAATTTTTAGGTTTTAACCATTCTTCTTCTTGGAATTTTCTTTTCAATTTGTCCAAGTGCCTCCTTTTTTTTTTTTTTTTTAATTTGTCCAAGTGCCTATTATATAGTAAACTATGTATTTAGCAGTAAATCTTTTAGATGACGAAACAGGTTAAATTTGTCATGAGGAATTAATTTTCAAGGAATTGCAATAGTTATTGTCATCGATTGACTATTTGAAGTTTTATCAACCTCTTCACAACATATACGATATCTTTTGTTAAAGTTTCGTTACTTTAGAGGTCATACAGGCGATCCCACTTAGTGAAATAAGATTTGATTGTTGTTGTTGTTCATTACTTTGTCATTGTACAAAAGTTAGTGGCTCACCACTTTTAATTAGTGTTACTAATATAAACCCACACACTTTGTGTTTGTGAAATTTTTTACTTTTGATTTTAAAATTGAAGGATAGAGAAAGAAAGTGAGAGAGAACGTGTGAGAGTGGGGAGAGAGTGAGAGGATTTTTTAAAAATAAAATTAGGGATAATAAAATCAAGGCTTAAACAAGAAAGAGCAAAATTTTGTTTTGTGAAATTACGTTACTATTTTTAAATTTTTTGTTGTGGTAGAAGACAAAAATGTCTTAACACTCTTCAACTTATCTGCATTGTTATCATCTAAAGTTCAAACTACATTTATATTTTGCTCGCTCATTTTCGCTAGAACTGTCATTTATTTACATTACCAACCTTCATTTTTTCAATCTGTAACAGACGAAAGAAAACACATCCATGTGAGAAGAAAAATTTTAGTTCTACGAAAAGTATTTTGACGGTGCAGAACTCCACCGTTGAACACCTATTAGATTTTCACATTTATAGATTTCCAAGTATATAAATTTCCACACACACGTGTGTGTATATATGTGCGTGCGTGTGTATATATATATATAGAACTTTTTACGTATTTTATATTTATACAGCCGCAGCTTCATTTGGGCATCCTTGCTACTGATAAGTAATAACTATTCCTAATAATCAGAATTTATTTTACTACAAGCTTAATTTAGTCGTAAATCTACCCAATAAATTCCCCTTTATGTTCTATTTAGTTTAACTTTTATTAAGTAGTTTATGTGAACATTTGTTGTCAATCATCATCAAACTAACATTAATCATCCTTTCATAGAATAAAAACATTAATCATACGCTCATCACCTACTATTTTTTTGTAATAGATCTGAAAATTAAAAGTAAGGGAGTATTAATGAAAATCACACGATACTGTTCACTTTAACGAAAAACCAAAATTTTACACTAAAAAATCAATCATGAAACTATTCAATTTACCTTTATTTTTCCTTATTGTTAAAACTTAAAGTTTTCAAACTCTTTTTATTAGTTTTCCTTTAAAAGTAATCAGATTAACTAAGTAAAAGTTTAGAGTTACAGTTATTAAGAGCATTTACCCATAAACAAGAAGTGCCAATTGCACCTTCCTCTTTACGTAACTTCACTTCCAACCAATTCCACTTAACTCAAAATAAAATATATCAATAAAAATACATTCCTTGCTGCTCGATGTACATGTATCGTTGTATCAAATAAATAAAAATATGCAATACGTGATAAATAATCATCACGTAAAGGGATGACTCCAAGTCAACAGGGCTACTCGCTTTGCAAGGGTGGGAGTGAGGAGGAAACCTCTATCATATGCAACCTTACCCTTGCTTTGCAAGAGATTGTTTCCTTGACTCAAACCCGTGACCTTTCGGTCACAAGGAAACAACATTTCCATTGCGCCAATGCTCGCCCTCATAAACAACCATCACATAATTGAGAAAAACTGCGTAAAAATGTTTTAAAAAAAAACTAATATCACAATTTTATTTTGCAAGTGTTCTCGGTAGCCACTTAGTGCTAACTGATACAATACATGAAACCAAAAGATGAGGACAATGTGTCCATGGGGGCTTTTATTTTATTGAGTCATTTGTTTTAGAATTTCATGCCTAAGATCTAGGCAGATGCACTGAACAAAATCCTCGCTTACAGACACCCCAAGGACGAACACGATTAGCAGGTGGTACAACAATACTTACCATACAAATGACTATGATACGCGCCTGAATGCTAGTATACAGGGCACGAGCTATCTTCGCTGCAAGTGACTACTATAAGTCATCAACTGTCAACTGATGTTGGTGCATTACTAGCTCCGCATCGTCCTTTTTACACACATATATGAAGTGACAATCTGGATCTTCCAAAACAAAATCAGCTGGAAGTAAGCCCTTCTCGGTGATAGGAACGGGTTCCAGATCTGATTTTGATGACAAACCACAGCCTTCAGGCGTTTGGAATCCTGGTCTGGCTGTGAAATAATAGTCACAAGGACACAAAAACTAGATAAGGCACCTCTATAAGGAATCGTAAACACTGAAGTAACAAGCAAATTCATAGAATTATCATCTCTGTTTGACTGTTTGTTGACTATCCAAGAAAGATCCCAGGAAAAGGTGGGTACATCCTAGTTTACTACTCGAAAAATACTCAGGTTGCATGTATGCTATGCACAAGCAACAAATATATGAAGCTCGGACAATCTGGACTGAAATTCCTAACTGAATAAACCAAAATCTTGTACCATTATATTTGTAGATAGATGTGGGACAACAAAAATCTTGTACCATTATACTTGAACGGATGTTCACCATGTGTTATAATTGCCTCAAACTCACTAACAAAATATGACCATTTGGCATTGAAAGAGACGTAAAACAAAATTTAACTAAAAATCACAAGCAATTATCAAACATACTCAAATAACGTGGAAGCAAGATCACTTTTGGAGAACTAACTGAATGAGGGGAACTGTAGATATTTGAACAGCAAGAAAAAGACGACTATTATGAAGGAAAATAAACTTACGTATAATGTACAAACAAATTTTCCAGTTGTACACTGGCCGTCTCAAATAAGGCATTCTTACTTTAGGATCACCGTACGTTATCTGCTATGTAGAAGTTTAAGAACAGATCATATATTTTTAGCTTTCAATAAAAGAAAGAACATTGAGAAATATAAAGCTTCATTTAAGGGTGCACAGTTACCAACATATAGATCCCTCCAGGTTTAAGAAGCCTACAAGAAAAAAATAACAACTAGGATTGGTAAAGGAATATAAAAGCAAACTATAATTAGCAAAGTTTAAATGGAAAAAGAAATTGTGAAATGGTCGAGTAATATAAGAAATTGCATCTGTATATTGAGTCTTAAAGTCTACAACCTGCTCACTTCCCCTAACATTTGAACAGCACTAATTGGAGCATTGTTGCCACACTAGAAACATAAGCACAAACGAGAGAATCAGAGTGCGCCCAGTAATGACTAGGAGGAGTCATAAGAACATCACAACATGCATCATACGATTCATACCATCAGTGAATCAAGAGTTCCTTTGACAGACCACAAACCACAGGTGCAACAGGTGATGGCAGCAACAAAGGTTTACCAAGACGTTAAAAAGAAAATTAGTACACAACATTGTATATTTCTAAAATGAGTACACAAAGAAATAGATTCATACCTTTATCAATGACACCGTCAAACGAATCATCTGGGAAGAAACTCATATCTTTAACATCCATTTGCATGTCTATACGATCCATATAGGAAACATACCTAGAGTCTCCAATAGTTACTAATAAAAAAGCAGTTAGAAGTAGTTCTAGAGATTTTGATGAAGTAGATTTCCAAAAGGATACATTTCAGCTGAGGTATGTGCTCATATTTGCTTATCATCATGTCGATAGCCACTGATGAAATGTCAATGTTCATTATGTCTTCATATCCATCCTTGACCATGTCCTCGGACATAACTGGGAAAGAGAACATTTTTCCATCATTACCTAAGTCAACAAGTACACAAAACCATAGGAAGTATCTTAATATGACGAAATTACAGATGTCAGGTTGCCTTCTGGCTAGACACCGCATAACTGTTGCATCAAAATCTTTCTCCTACGGATGGCAAGGACAATGCCACGCGTAGGGACCCTAACTGCATCCGGTGCACCATTACTTTCAACATCAAATTTGCTAAATAGTGGGAAAGAAAATGATTCTTTGCAACTTTTTTCATTCTATGACCTACACAGAATGCATCTGCTATGGAAATCATATATCTATCAGACAAAACAGAAGGAAAACACACAACAGAACCTTAATTTGGGGAATTCATACTCATGCCAAAATCCCCAAAATAAAAGGGGTCAAATTTGAGTAGACAATGTTCAACCAACCACTAGCAGTAACCCTAAACCCCAATTTCTCTGATTTTTACCATAACTTCTCAATAATTAAAAAAACCCAGCTCAAAATTACCAAAAAAATATCTGAAGTGCAACGGGAATGATCAGAACAACTGGATTTCGGGAACCAATACTCTTAACAAAAGTCTCAATAAATGAATACAAGAACAAAGATCAATCAATGAGCCAAATTCCCACGTCAAACAAATTTTTTTCTGTACTTTCCTCTGAGTTTCTCAGCAACCAAACAGAGTAGTTAAAGCAGAGAGTCAGTATATGCATATGTATATAGAAAACAAAAGGGAAAGGAAGAAAAAGAGAATAAGGGAAATGGGTGGGTGGAAAAAGAGTACCGGCATTGCCGCAGCCGACCATGAGAACAGAAGAGGAGATGGGGATGAAGTGGCGGACGAAAGGGCGGAGGGAAGAGTAGCGCTGGTACCAGTCAAAGGAGCCACCTTCTTGGACGTAGCGGGCGTCCCAGTAGAGGGCGTCGCTATAGTTGTAGGTGTTGCAGCTCGACTCGTCCCTCAACATCTCCTTTTCCTGCTGCTGCTCTGATGATTTCAGTGGATTTGACTAGACTTCAGTTGGTGAACAGTCGGCGAAAGGAAATGAAAGTACGAGACGAGAGAGGGAGAGAGAGAGAGAATGGGGAAGTGAGGTCGGGTTTCGTATTGGGGCTGCCTGGCAATACAGTTGGGCCTTTGATCTAGGCCTGCGGTCCAAACAAGCGTCATCGAGTCCATATCAAACCCAAGCAACCACCTCAACACCACCGACTTTTCCTGCTCGAAGAACCTCTTCAACATCAACCCCGGCACCCGCCCGGCCGATATCACCGCCGCCAAGTCCTTCGGCAGACTCTCCGACGCCTCGGCCATGGCGGTGGATGCAGCTTTTGAAACCCCGTCTCCTCCGTTTTACTCCCCTTCTTCCCATTTCAGCCCGCAGCGCCACTTCTACCTCGCCGTCGACAGACACCAGTTCAAGATGGTAATTTCTCCGCACCCATCTGCGTAAAAGTTGAGTTTTTTTTACTAATTGAAGTCAAAAGTTGTGAAATTTAATTGGGCAGGAGACGTTGATGGACTTATTGGGCGTGGCGGGTCGGCGTCCTGGGTTGCCCATGGTGGTCTGCTGCAGCTCACGTGACGAGCTCGACGCCGTTAGCTCCGCCGTCGCCAACGTCCCCTATATCTCTTTGGCTTCTCTGGTAAATTTTCAATTTTTCTTCTTCCACCCACACTCATTAGCCATTCCCTCATGCGGTGTTATTGTTTGATTGATTCACTACATAAAATCTATGTGCATGAAATGCTAATGGTGTTTAAAAGCCTCAATATGCATCAACCCAAGGCGAATAAACCAAGTTGTGGAACACAACTGAGTTGTTTTCCATAAATATGAAGCATGTTGATTCGTATGCAAAAGGGTATATGAATTTGACAATGTGTGATGAATAAGTTATTAGCACCGTGTCCCCGTTAATGCGGATAAAAAAATGGAAGATTGATCACTGGAAGAAGCTTTTGTGTGGGCTTGGTGTTCGACCAAAAGAGTCTTCGATGATTAAGTTATATTGCGGGCAGGAAGAACTGCATTAGAGTTTCTTCCTGTTTTCTATCGACCTTTGGTAGTAGGAATGCACTTATTGTAGAGGATTTCTCGTTTTATTGGGAATGCGTGATTGGATTATGAGCAGGTATCTTCGTTCCAGTTTTAACCAAGGGGTCTCACCCTTCCTGTAGGAGTTCGAAATTTAGTTGCCTTCTAGGATGGTAGTTGCCAGAAAATGCCAGAAAGGGACAGATAATCGTGCCTGGCTCGACTTTGCAGTGTGCTTTGATTATTATGCTTCATAGTCAAACTTCAAGCCATTACTGATAATTATTTGCTGTTATAGAATTTGAAGCTTTTAGTGATGGTCAAATGATAACAATCGAAATAGGTGATATTTGGTTGCATTTAAGTTAGTTATTATGCTTATGTTGTAAACGTGCCAAACACAATTAACCATGTTTAGAGACGTTGAAACTTGGATCTCCAATTACCGTTAGTGTTTCTAATGTAGCCTGTGCATCATATCTTGTATCGCAGTACACTGACCTTGCTGAAGCAGACCGTTCTTTAATATTAGAGCATTTTCGGCAAGCAACAATGAGGTGGAACCCAGAATTGAGTGCTCAATCAGCAGTTGATAATGAGTCTGTGAAAGATGAACAAAAATCTCATATGATAGTTGCAACAGATGCATGCCTTCCGCTGCTTGCTTCTGGGGAGTCACCTATAGCTGCCCGTGTTCTTATAAATTATGAGTTACCGACAAAGAAGGTATCGTTCTCGTTCCTTTGGGAATTGGGACTTAGATGTACCGCAATTTCATGCATCCATTTATGCTGACAGTTACTCTTGTTGTGCCATTTCAAGGTCGTTAATGATTGAATTCTGTGTTATAACAGTTGTTAACATGGGACTGCATGTGGTTTTGCTACCTTATGCATTACATACTGCGTCCATTCTATTTTCTCATGTATATATGCTTCCTTCCTTACGATCCTCTGTGCAGGAAACATATACAAGGCGTATGACAACTTGTTTGGCTGCAGGTTCGTCCTACCAAGTTGTACTACTTTGTTAGTTGCATATTAATGGGGTGTGCTCTCTTGCGATAACTTTGTACAAACACGTGCAGATGGGATTGTAATCAACATGGTTGTCGGGGGTGAGGTAGTAACTCTCAAAAGTCTTGAAGAAAGTAGCAACCTGGTCATAGCCGAGATGCCCATACATGTGAGTTTGTCAATGCTTACGTTTCCCACATTTCATTTAGCCACCCTGTTCCTTTCTCTTTCTCTCGCGTAGATGGGCACTCGTTTGATATATGGTTGATTGGATTGCAGATTTCTGAGATCTTATGAAGATATATAATGTGCTATGCTGGCGGACATGTCAGATAAATGATTCCTTGTACTTTGCTGTGGTGGTCGAAGCAATTGTGCGTGATCTGAGTACCCTTTGAGTGGTTCCGACGATGTTGAATTTATACTGATTTGTGATTTTAGATGAGACTTGGTTTGGTAAGTAGTATACATGAAGGAGGAAGACATATTAAATCCAAACAAGTTTTGACTTTTATTGTTTTCAAGAAAAGAATAAATACGATGGCAACAAAATAACAAATTCCGGAACTTAATACTTTTGGAGAGGCAACGCGCGCAAGGTGTTCAACATTTCATCCTCCAACAAGCATCTGCTTGTCTTTAGCGGAACTTTTGCCCAGGTGTACCTACTAGCTACGACATTAGAGATGACAAGCATCAGTGAAGATTAAGAAATTATACTTGAAATGATCATCAAAGTAACATGCTGTTGTTTAACTCGGTACCTCTGGTATCAATTGGAGTTCTTGTACGTGGGTTCATTGGGATTGTATGTCTGTTATCAATTAGTTTTAAAAACCTCCCATCAGCAAGAAGAAGACCAAAGAATCTAAGCTCCATTGTGCCTGCCTCCGCAACGATTGCTTGATAAACCTTGGGCGTGCCAGCATCAACGGCCTCCAATGTTATAAAATGGTTGAGACAGCCGGCAAGAAACTGCACACTTTCCCTTATCCCCCTTGCAAATTGCAGTCGGGCACCCTATGAGAGACACAGAGAGAACAATGTACAAGAGTTATTTTCTTATAGAGGGTGAGCGTGAGCTACTGAAAATAAAAGAGCATGATCGAGTTAGTTCAAACCTTTTGCTTGTTGAACTCTTTCACAGCGAAAAGAGCAGGCGGAGTTTTAAGACGGCGCTTAGTATGCGATCTACCTCTGTCAACAATGGGACATGATGATGAGCGCCAGTCACTTATTTCGTGGTATTGTTTTTTCTGTTTCTTAGTCTTAGGAATATAAGTAGACGGACGTGAAAACAGGTCGTCCAGCTGCTGGAGTTGATTAATGTTGTAGTGGGACAAGTTGTTGAGTATTGCCGACGCTGGAGATGGCCTAGCACTAGTACTAGTGGCAGCAGGAGCACCAGTGCACGCCCCCAACTTTCCGACCACAGAGCGAAAGCGGAGAGCCAATGCCAATGCCATGTTTTCCGAGAACTAGTCTACTCAGACACTGACACTGCTAGTAAGACCGCTAAATGTTAAGTTTAATTGGTTTGTGAGCAAAAATCTACACAAGTCTAGACAAAATAGCTTTGTTAAAGCAACACCAAAAATCTCTTAGGAGTTTTTTTACAGCAAAACAACAACTGAATTATCGTAGCCGAATCAGTCGTCCCAACAAGAACAACAACATAATTCTAATTTATCAGAAATTGAAATTCAAATAGAACGATCAGAAATCAATCATTCGGGATCCCAATAAGGCAATCACAAAGAATTGATTTACCTTAAATATAATTAACGTGGGGGCGGAGGCGGCGGCTAGGAGCAGCAAGCAAAACAGATTTCGCACAGAACCAAACCTTTGAAAAAAAAAAAAAAAAACCCTTCTATTCTTTTAGGACGACAAGCCAAAGCTAGCTAGGACTTAGGGAGCGTTTGTTTGCCCTCACTAAGTCGGACTGGACTGGACTGGACTAGCTATTAGTCCAATACTGTGTTTGTTCCATGCTGGGACTAACATTAATGAGACTAAAGGGGACTAGCATAGACAAAACCCTTCACTAAGAGGTCTTAGCGAGACCCCCCAATAACCATGTGACTAGCTAAGACTATCCTCTCTTTCTCGTCCTCGTCATGTTCAACGACCACTCCCGACAGACTCCTCGTCATCTCCGGTCGCCGAGATCAATCATGAACTTTCCGACTCTCTTTCAGATCCATTTCACAACCAACTTTCATATAAAATATACAAAATTGAAGCTGGGAGTGACAAGATTACGATTCTACCTGAATCAAGGCCAAAATATAGTCGAATGTGGCCGGAAAATGGCCTAGAAGTCTCGGCCTGTTTGGGCTTCTTCAAATCCATGACAGATTCGAGCATGCAAAGCTAAGATCTAGGTCCAGGGATGGTGATGAATTTTTTTACGGTGTTAACTTCATCCAATTTAACAAGGGTTGGCTGGAAAACACATCGGAAAACTTGCAACTCGTCAGGAAAATTGGAGCCGTGAGGTTCCGTTCGAACAACGCATAGCTAGAGAAGGAGGGAGGACAGAGAAATAGAGACTGGAATCGATAAGAAGTTTGACCAGAAATGAGAAAGAGACATGAATTGAGAGGTCTGAGAGGAAAAAAAGAGGGAGAGGGTGGGACGAAGAATTGAGAGAAGAGGAAGAGAGTGGGACGGAAATGGTAGGAAAAGATGGAGAAAAAGATAAGATCATAATAAAATATTAATAATTTATATATTAAATAATATAATATTAGAATTTGTTATTATCCAGCTTCTTAGTCCAATACTGCACCAAACGCTTCACTAAGTTATTCCAGTTTAGTCTAGTCTAAGCCAGTCCAGCTCAGTCCAGCTTAGTCCTTGAAGCTAATCCAGTCCGAGATAGTCCAGCGCAACAAACGCCCCCTTAAAGTTTAGTTCGGAAGCCCAGTAGGCATTTTCTTTTTATTACGTGGCACAATCTGGTGCCTTGTATACGTTTTCAACGGCTGTAGATGAAAAAAGAGCACAATAACTACAACCTAATACCTAATAGTCAGTTCAGTTTGGTGTTCTGGTCGGACTCCGTGTACAATTCTCTCTCCTCCTCCTCCTCCTCTCTCTCTTCCCTATCTCTCTCTCTGTTCAATCCGAGTTCTTCAACCTATCCCGGATCGCAAGAAGATAAACAGCCCCAATCTTCTCTGCCCCACAACCCTGAAAAATCCCAATTTATCTAGCAAGGAAATAGAAAGCCACAATCTTTTTCTTCCTTTCTCTCTCCAGAAGAACCCTAGAAAATCCCAATTCCTAAAGCCCCAATCTTTTCCTTCGAATTGGGTGATATTGCTTTAGAGCTTTTGGGAGACAATTTACCGTTGTTTCATCGAATGGAATCCGATCTGAAAACTTCCTCCTCCCCCTACAACCCTAGAAAATCCCAATTCTTAAAGCCCCAATCTTTTCCTTCGAATCGGGTGATATTGCTTTAGAGCTTTTGGGAGACAATTTACCCGTTTCATCAAATGGAATCCGATCTGAAAACTTCCTCCCTAGAACCCTAGAAAATCCCAATTCGTACCTTGAAATCCTACACTCTTGAAAAAGCACTTTTGAGAATGGAAGCACTTCTGCGTTTGATAGTTACTGGTATTTGGACTTCTGTGTTTTGATCACTTCTGCGTTTTGTTTATTGGGTTTGATTCAAAATCGTTACTTTTTCTTTGTTTATTTTCATGACTAGCATGACGGAGGATGAACAGACGCTGTTTTACTGTCTTATTAGATTTGGTGCTTCATATGCAGATAATATTTTTGTGATTCGGATTTCCGATTTGAAATTTTCGCCATTATTCCATTGCTTTAGTAATTAAATTTATGCCTTAATTCAGCATATTCATCATGATGAGTATTAGGGACAGAGTAGAGAGATTGGTGATTTTATAGAGCACAATCATCAGGCTGCTTGGGTGCTTTGTGTTTATTTATTTAGGTTTACGTTAAATGGATTTGATGTGATTCTGATTCTGGGATTGGGTGTTGAATACTGAATTGTTGCTTGATATATTTGTACTAGGATTTTCTCCAGCAGCGGAATCTGAGGAAGATTTGAAAAACTGAGAAATCGTTTTGTTCTCCACTTGTTAATTGGTGGAGATGTCAAGTTATGTGGGTATTCACATTAGGGATCAATCGCTTCAAAGCCAGTTAATGCAGGTTGAGCTTCGCAGTCTAGAATCCAAAGTGTGTATAATTTTGATATCGTATTTTTCTCTAACATGTGGCTTTGAGTTAATTGCAAACTTTTTGTGCTTTTCAGTTTAATTCATTGAAGAATCAGAATGGTAAAGTTATGGCTGGAGATTTGCCACCTTTAATGGTGAAATTAAGGGCATTCAGAGAAATGTATTCTGAGGAGGAGATCAGAGGTATCTTAAGTGGGTTGGATTCTGACTTCAGTGACGAGATTGATTTGAATCCTTTCTTAAGGTGATTCATTTTGTTTCTTTGTTTAGTTTTCCTCCCTCTCTCTCGCTCCACACACACACACACTCACTCCCCTATGCATGTACTGAGTTAATCATAGTGCTGAACAAAGTAGGTATAAGCTTAACAATCAGAGATCGTTGGTTTAAACCTTCAAATTGCAGAAACGGGGCAAGGCTGCATATGTGTGTTGCCTTCTCTAGATTCGAATAAGTGTGGTAGTTTGTAATATCATAGTACTATACCACCACCCGTTTTAATCGAAAGAAGTCCCAGGTCAGAAGAAATGTTTTTTATTTTCCTTCTTCTGTAGTTAGGTGTATAAGACTTTGCATGTAACTTGCTACATTCACAAGTGAATTTATAGGATTTCACATATTAATTTATTGCACAAATTGCACAGGCACACTCAAGCTTGCAAGGGTAAACAACAACTGTTGTGGTTTTTTGATTATTTGCGTATGAATGCATCTCTTTTTAATCATGACTCAGATGATCAGATATATTTTTGTACCTTTGGGCTCACTGTGAAAGAAAATTGCACTACTATTTGATATAGATGTCGTATAATATATTGGTTTTCAGGGATTTTTGGTCTTTGCAGGGTTTTATCTGGCTGGGCAAATGCCTTTGCCATCAGTCTCTATGTATAATTTTCTTTTAAGCAAGGCAATATACCTATGACATTCAGAAAATGCTTGATGAGGCAGCACTTAGTTCCTTTGAATTGGGGCTGTTGCTGAATCGGCAGGTAAAATTTTTGAAACTTCTGTGAATGTTTATTTCATGCTTTCGTATTCCTTATGTGTGCCTCTACAATCTGTCCATGAAGATTTATTATTGTTTTCATCACTTTTTTTCACGAGCAACTACAATAAAAAGGATGAAAGCAGGTGCAATAAGATATTGGACATGTAAGGGGCAGGTGCTAATACATAAAACTCTAGATAACCAGCTGTAATTAAACACAAAAACATCCCCAAAGTGACAGAAACAGTACCAAGCTTTAGATAAGCCACACACCATCTAAACCTCTCAATTTGAGTTACATTTAACTTCGCATGATAGCAATGGGCCCAATGGGCTGAATTGCTCCCGCCTCAATATTTAATACTCCGTGGGGAGGATGATAAGGAAAAATAGGGTATTTTCTCCCCAATAGTGCTCGTGGAGCCTTCTCGTTTCTTGCCAATGTTTTCAAAACTTTGAAGTAGCCGTCAACTCCCCACCCACATCCCCAGCTATTTCTTACTTTCCAATACCCGGGTCCGTATCCGCATATGTTGACGAAGTGAAAACCGAATCCGTAACCGCATCGTTCGCAATGATACTTTGCATCTTTGGTATATAGCTCACAGTCCTTATCTTGACATTTGTCGCAATTTTGTAATGTATTTATATATCCAAGTACTGCCTGCATATGAAACAAGAATAAAGATTGTTTTTTGTGCTGATTGAAAAGGTGAGAAATGTTTTTCAAATATTTTGTATACTGTTCGGTTAGGTTGGAGACCATGGACTCATTTTTTGTATAAATTCATTGGGCTATGCTTATTATTCTGTGTAAGTTTTCTGGTCTGTCAAAGAGTGAGTTGTGTTGTGCTGTGTTGGATGTTGTTAACATTTGCATTTGATGTTAGGCAGTGGTGGATATTATTAGGGGGCATTAGGGATTTCTTTCCAGAAGAACTTATTTTTAAAATTTTGATAAGCCAATGGTTTGGTGAAGTTGTAAAAAGCTGCTTTAAAACTTCTGCAGGGTTGCCTGTAAAAGCTACTTTGTAATTAGGTGACAGGCCATGTCCCTCCAATTATGTTGTTTTTTTTACGTTTTTCTTTTCTGGGTTTGGTGTATACCAGTTAGCAGTCGACTCTTCTTTGTATTCGGATTGCAGCTGCAGACCTCTATGTTCTCATCTGAGAAATTTTACTACTAACGGTGTGATCACTCATCTGTAAGTTTATTGATCTCCTTACAGTTTTTGTATTTTTGGATTTGGAAGCTCTCAATTTTCTCAGAGTTTGTCATTACTATGAGAATAGGGGCATTGTTTTTACTGTGAGATAGGGCTTTGTCTACTTCACGATTAGATAATTTACTTCTTATTAATAATTGATTTAAATTTCATTTTAGTTTTATGCTAACCTTTTCGTAGTCGAATAAGGATGCGTCGACACTCAATCTTGCCACCAACGGGGTGTTGTTGGTGTTGAGAAATTTGAGCATGGCTTGCCGCCCGTGAGCGAACAAGTAGTCATGAATGCGGATTTTTGGTCCGTGCTCCTGAAACCATAGAATGTAATGTCAGTATTAAGTTCTGCACAATTTGCACAAGTCAAAGGGTCTAGCTTACGAACTGAACAGTTTACGAGTCTTAGAGATATTAATACTTGTGATCAGTCTTAGTGTGCTGAGGTAGCTTACATTGATTGGAGGTTTATTGTATGGCCAATCGTGCTCCAGGGCAACACCGTGCTCCTTGATAAAATCAAAAGCATCGTTTATGTAGCTGCCCTCCTTCTCAAATGAAAGCTCCACTTTGGGCTTCAGCCTCCACAATTTTTTTGGAGTCCTGTCGACAACATGTTGGACAGATAGCTCAACTCGGACTCCCTTATCTTTGAAGTAGAGTGCTTCAACGCATTCCACAGCTGCTGTTGCCCAACAGTCGGCTGCAATCCGAATTCACAGTAAAGACAATGCCCCTATTCTCATAGTAATGACAAACTCTGAGAAAATTGAGAGCTTCCAAATCCAAAAATACAAAAACTATAAGGAGATCAATAAACTTACAGATGAGTGATCACACCGTTAGCAGTACAATTTCTCACATGAGAACATAGAGGTCTGCAGCTGCAATCTGAATACAAAGAAGAGTAGACCGCTAACTGGTGTACACCAAACCCAGAAAAGAAAAACGTAAAAAAAACAACATAATTGGAGGGACATGCCCTGTCACCTAATTACAAAGTAGCTTTTACAGGCAACCCTGCAGAAGTTTTAAAGCAGCTTTTTACAACTTCACCAAACCATTGGCTTATCAAAATTTTAAAATAAGTTCTTCTGGAAAGAAATCCCTAATGCCCCCTAATAAAATCCACCACTGGCTAACTGCAAATGTTAACAACATCCAACACAGCACACCACAACTCACTCTTTGATAGACCAGAAAACTTACACAGAATAATAAGCACAGCCCAATGAATTTATACAGAAAATGAGTCCATGGTCTCCAACCTAACCGAACAGTATACAAAATATTTGAAAAACATTTCTCACCTTTTCAATCAGCACAAAAAACGATCTTTATTCTTTTTCATATGCAGGTAGTACTTGGTTATATAAATACATTACAAAATTGCGACAAATGTCAAGATAAGGACTGTAAGCTATATACCAAAGATGCAAAGTATCATTCCGAACGATGCGGTTACGGATTCGGTTTTCACTTCGTCACCATATGCGGATACGGACCCGGGTATTGGAAAGTAAGAAATAGCTAGGGATGTGGGTGGGGAGTTGACGGCTACTTCAAAGTTTTGAAAACATTGGCAAGAAACGAGAAGGCTCCACAAGCACTATTGGGGAGAAAATACCCTATTGTGAATACCCACATAACTTGACATCTCCACCAATTAACAAGTGGAGAACAAAACGATTTCTCAGTTTTTCAAATCTTCCTCAGATTCCGCTGCTGGAGAAAATCCTAGTACAAATATATCAAGCAACAATTCAGTATTCAACACCCAATCACATCAAATCCATTTAACGTAAACCTAAATAAATAAACAGAAAGCTCCCAAGCAGCCTGATGATTGTGCTCTATAAAATCACCAATCTCTCTACTCTGTCCCTAATACTCATTATGCTGAATTAAGGCATAAATTTAATTACTAAAGCAATGGAATAATGGCGAAAATTTCAAATCGGAAATCCGAATCACAAAAATATTATCTGCATATGAAGCACCAAATCTAATAAGACAGTAAAACAGCGTCTGTTCATCCTCCGTCATGCTAATCATGAAAATAAACAAAGAAAAAGTAATGATTTTGAATCAAACCCAACAAACAAAACGCAGAAGTGATCAAAACACAGAAGTCCAAATACTAGTAACTATCAAACGCAGAAGTGCTTCCATTCTCAAAAGTGCTTTTTCAAGAGTGTAGGATTTCAAGGTACGAATTGGGATTTTCTAGGGTTCTAGGGAGGAAGTTTTCAGATCGGATTCCATTTGATGAAACGGGTAAATTGTCTCCCAAAAGCTCTAAAGCAATATCACCCGATTCGAAGGAAAAGATTGGGGCTTTAAGAATTGGGATTTTCTAGGGTTGTAGGGGGAGGAGGAAGTTTTCAGATCGGATTCCATTCGATGAAATAAGGGTAAATTGTCTCCCAAAAGCTCTAAAGCAATATCACCCAATTCGAAGGAAAAGATTGGGGCTTTAGGAATTGGGATTTTCTAGGGTTCTTCTGGAGAGAGAAAGGAAGAAAAAGATTGTGGCTTTCTATTTCCTTGCTAGATAAATTGGGATTTTTCAGGGTTATGGGGCAGAGAAGATTGGGGCTGTTTATCTTCTTGCGATCCGGGATAGGTTCGACCACCACAGCAAAGTACAAGGAATGATTTCTCTGACATGTCAGCATAGCACATTATATTTCTTCATAAGATCTCAGAAATCTGCAATCCAATCAACCATATATCAAATGAGTGCCCATCTACGCGAGAGAAACAGAAAGGAACAGGGTGGCTAAATGAAATGTGGGAAACGTAATCATTGACAAACTCACATGTATGGGCATCTCAGCTATGACCAGGTTGCTACTTTCTTCAAGACTTTTGAGAGTTACTACCTCACCCCCGACGACCATGTTGATTACAATCCCATCTGCACGTATTTGTACAAAGTTATCGCAAGAGAGCATACCCCATTAATATGCAACTAACAAAGTAGTACAACTTGGTAGGACGAACCTGCAGCCAAACAAGTTGTCATACGCCTTATATATGTTTCCTGCACAGAGGATTGTAAGGAAGGAAGCATATATACATGAGAAAACAGAATGTAATGCATAAGGTAGCGAAACCACATGCAGCCCCATGTTAACAACTGTTATAACACAGAATTCAATCATTAACGACCTTGAAATGGCACAACAAGAGTAACTGTCAGCATAAATGGATGCATGAAATTGCGGTACATCTAAGTCCCAATTCCCAAAGGAAGAATGAGAACTGTACCTTCTTTGTCGGTAACTCATAATTTATAAGAACATGGGCAGCTATAGGTGACTCCCCAGAAGCAAGCAGCGGAAGGCATGCATCTGTTGCAACTATCATATGAGATTTTTGTTCATCTTTCACAGACTCATTATCAACTGCTGATAGAGCACTCAATTCTGGGTTCCACCTCATTGTTGCTTGCCGAAAATGCTCTAATATTAAAGAACGGTCTGCTTCAGCAAGGTCAGTGTATTGCGATACAAGATATGATGCACAGGCTACATTAGAAACACTAACAGTAATTGGAGATCCAAGTTTCGACGTCTCTAAACATGGTTAATTGTGTTTGGCGCGTTTACAACATAACCATAATAACTAACTCAAATGCAACCAAATATCACCTATTTCGATTGTTATCATTTGACCATCACTAAAAGCTTCAAATTCGATAACAGCAAATAATTATCAGTAATGGCTTGAAGTTTGACTATGAAGCACAATAATCAAAGCACACTGCAAAGTCGAGCCAGGCACGATTATCTGTCCCTTTCTGGCATTTTCTGGCAACTACCATCCTAGAAGGCAACTAAATTTCGAACTCCTACAGGACGTTATGTTAAGGGTGAGACCCCTTGGTTAAAACTGGAACGAAGATACCTGCTCATAATCCAATCACGCATTCCCAATAAAACAAGAACTCCTCTACAATAAGTGCATTCCTACTACCAAAGGTCGACAGAAAACAGGAAGAAACTCTAATGCGGTTCTTCCTCCCCACAATATAACTTAACCATTGAAGACTCTTATGGCCGAACACCAAGCCCACACGAAAGCTTCTTCCAGTGATCAATCTACCATTTTTTTATCTGCATTAACGGGGACACGGTCCTAATAACTTATTCATCACACATTGTCAAAATCATATACCCCTTTGCATACTAATCAACATGCTTCATAAGTTGTGGAACACAACTGAGTTCATAAAAGTTACGAAAAACCTGGGTTTATTAGCCTTGGGTCGATGCATATTGAGGCTTTTAAACACCATTAGCATTTCATGCACATAGATTTTATGTAGTGAATCAATCAAACAATAACACCGTATGAGGAAATGGCTAATGAGTGTGGGTGGAAGAAGAAAAATTGAAAATTTACCAGAGAAGCCAAAGAGATATAGGGGACGTTGGCGACGGCGGAGCTAACGGCGTCGAGCTCGTCACGTGAGCTGCAGCAGACCACCATGGGCAACCCAGGACGCCCACCCGCCACGCCCAATAAGTCCATCAACGTCTCCTGCCCAATTAAATTTCACAACTTTTGACTTCAATTAGTTAAAAAAACTCAACTTTTACGCAGATGGGTGCGGAGAAATTACCATCTTGAACTGGTGTCTGTCGACGGCGAGGTAGAAGTGGCGCTGCGGGCTGAAATGGGAAGAAGGGGAGTAAAACGGAGGAGACGGGGTTTCAAAAGCTGCATCCACCGCCATGGCCGAGGCGTCGGAGAGTCTGCCGAAGGACTTGGCGGCGGTGATATCGGCCGGGCGGGTGCCGGGGTTGATGTTGAAGAGGTTCTTCGAGCAGGAAGAGTCGGTGGTGTTGAGGTGGTTGCTTGGGTTTGATATGGACTCGATGACCCTTGTTTGGACTGAAAATGTCGCAGGCCTAGATCAAAGGTCCAAATGTTATTGCCAGGCAGCCCCAATACGAAACCCGACCTCACTTCCCCATTCTCTCTCTCTCTCGTACTTTCATTTCCTTTCGCCGACTGTTCACCAACTGAAGTCTAGTCAAATCCACAGAAATCATCAGAGCAGCAGCAGGAAAAGGAGATGTTGAGGGACGAGTCGAGCTGCAACACCTACAACTATAGCGACGCCCTCTACTGGGACGCCCGCTACGTCCAAGAAGGTGGCTCCTTCGACTGGTACCAGCGCTACTCTTCCCTCTGCCCTTTCGTCCGCCACTTCATCCCCATCTCCTCTTCTGATCTCATGGTCGGCTGCGGCAATGCCGGTACTCTTTCTCCATCCACCCATTTCCCTTATTCTCTTTTTCTTCCTTTCCCCTTTTGTTTTCTATATACATATATATATATATACTGACTCTCTGTTGTGCCTTGGCCCGTTCGTTAGTGCGGAACCGAGATTCAGATTACAACCTCACCAAAAATCACACACAGTTGAACAAAATAAAGTACAAGAAATAAAGACACTGAGAAATTTACGAGGTTCGGCAAAAAAACTGCCTACGTCCCCGGAGAGATATTGCTCTTCACTATGAGAATAACAGTACAAGTATACATGAGTTAAATCGATATAACTCAATCCCATATCCCTTGTACACCCACTCACAGAATTTTCCCAAGAGCCTCACTCTACCCCAAGAGTTCTTTCACTAGAATACTTTTCACTCTAGCTCTCTTGATTTTCTCTCAACCCATGTTCAACATTTTCCATGGGAGAGCCGAATGCTCTCCCCTTGGATGCTCTCACAAAAGGAATGCTCAAAAACAAATGGTGCCCTTCCTTCTTTTTTCTATTCACTCGGCTGCACCCTTCATTCCCTTTAAAAACAACCAAATACAAATAAAATAATAGGGCTACTTGCTAGCCTTTTCCTTTTCTCCTCAAAACAAGGAAAGCAACAATGATTTTGTCCACCTTATTATTTTATTAGCCGAAAGTGGATGTGAGTTGGCCACTTGGCCACATATTCCAACAATCTCCACCTTGGCCAAGTTCCAAAATCCATTGGCCTTACGTACCAGCATGCACACTCTGAATCATCCTCATTGGTCCTGTTCCGATTCAGTCACTGCCAATGCATGTGCAGCTGCTGCAAGCTAAAAATCACCATTTAGCTTCAGACAGGATCTCAACACATCCTCGTCTCCTCCAGCAGGTTTTCCTCCTCTTCATTGTCTGCAACCTGGAAACTCGTCCGCAAGCCTATTTCCAGCAACAACCCATTGAGCCAGACAAAATTCCCACACTTCCTCCTACCTCAGGACCTTCTCATCACCTGTGAATCCCATAGCTCCACCTGCTGCAAAACCCCTACAACACTTGAGACTAAACATCACCAGGAGAAGTGTTGCTTCGAGTACCTAGAGGGCATACTCAAAGTCTTCCACCACAAACTTGCTAACCCAGCCTTGCACCCGTAGCACTGTGGACCCTTGCCTCCGGAACCGGATCCGAACCTGCTGTCTCTCTCAGATCCTCTTTCCAATTTTCTTCCACGATTTCAACCTTGAATAGCTTAAGCAGTCTTGTGTCCACCATCATCCATGGTCTCTTGTGTGTATCATTCCACACCAAAGAAGCTTGCACCTGCTCCAAACTTACTGTTTCTTTCCTTGCAGTAAAGTTTCACAAGGTTCTCGTACAAATCTGAAAGTGAGGTAAGAAGAAAGAGGCCTTTGTCTTCTTCCTCAACATCAACTTTCGCAGTTGATCCAAGCATCCCTAAACACGGCTTCCATTTCTTCAGACTTCCATTACTCTCCTTTACCAAGAGCAAAACCGCCTCTCCCTTTAAACTGCTCAACTGAAAATTCCATGGTGAACAACAAATCTGGACCTCCAACGAACCAAAGCCCCCAACGATGCTCTGATACCAATTGTTGTGCCTTGGCCCGTTCGTTAGTGCGGAACCGAGATTCAGATTACAACCTCACCAAAAATCACACACAGTTGAACAAAATAAAGTACAAGAAATAAAGACACTGAGAAATTTACGAGGTTCGGCAAAAAAACTGCCTACGTCCCCTGAGAGATATTGCTCTTCACTATGAGAATAACAGTACAAGTATACATGAGTTAAATCGATATAACTCAATCCCATATCCCTTGTACACCCACTCACAGAATTTTCCCAAGAGCCTCACTCTACCCCAAGAGTTCTTTCACTAGAATACTTTTCACTCTAGCTCTCTTGATTTTCTCTCAACCCATGTTCAACCTTTTCCATGGGAGAGCCGAATGCTCTCCCCTTGGATGCTCTCACAAAAGGAATGCTCAAAAACAAATGGTGCCCTTCCTTCTTTTTTCTCTTCACTCGGCTGCACCCTTCATTCCCTTTAAAAACAACCAAATACAAATAAAATAATAAGGCTACTTGCTAGCCTTTTCCTTTTCTCCTCAAAACAAGGAAAGCAACAATGATTTTGTCCACCTTATTATTTTAATAGCCGAAAGTGGATGTGAGTTGGCCACTTGGCCACATATTCCAACACTCTCTGCTTTAACTGCTCTGTTTGGTTGCTGAGAAACTCAGAGGAAAGTACAGAAAGAAATTTGTTTGACGTGGGAATTTGGCTCATTGATTGATCGTTGTGCTTGTATTCATTTATTGAGACTTTTGTTAAGAGTATTGGTTCCCGAAATCCAGTTGTTCTGATCATTCCCGTTGCACTTCAGATATTTTTTTGGTAATTTTGAGCTGGGTTTTTTTAATTATTGAGAAGTTATGGTAAAAATCAGAGAAATTGGGGTTTAGGGTTACTGCTAGTGGTTGGTTGAACATTGTCTACTCAAATTTGACCCCTTTTATTTTGGGGATTTTGGCATGAGTATGAATTCCCCAAATTAAGGTTCTGTTGTGTGTTTTCCCTCTGTTTTGTCTGATAGATATATGATTTCCATAGCAGATGCATTCTGTGTAGGTCATAGAATGAAAAAAGTTGCAAAGAATCATTTTCTTTCCCACTATTTAGCAAATTTGATGTTGAAAGTAATGGTGCACCGGATGCAGTTAGGGTCCCTATGCGTGGCATTGTCCTTGCCATCCGTAGGAGAAAGATTTTGATGCAACAGTTATGCGGTGTCTAGCCAGAAGGCACCCTGACATCTGTAATTTCGTCATATGAAGATACTTCCTATGGTTTTGTGTACTTGTTGACTAAGGTAATGATGGAAAAATGTTCTCTTTCCCAGTTATGTCCGAGGACATGGTCAAGGATGGATATGAAGACATAATGAACATTGACGTTTCATCAGTGGCTATCAACATGATGATAAGCAAATATGAGCACATACCTCAGCTGAAATGTATCCTTTTGGAAATCTACTTCATCAAAATCTCTAGAACTACTTTTAATTGCTTTTTTATTAGTACCTATTGGAGACTCTAGGTATGTTTCCTATATGGATTGTATAGACATGCAAATGGATGTTAGAGATATGAGTTTCTTCCCAGATGATTCGTTTGACGGTGTCATTGATAAAGGTATGAATCTATTTCTTTGTGTACTCATTTTAGAAATATACAATGTTGTGTACTAATTTTCTTTTTAACGTCTTTGTAAACCTTTGTTGCTGCCATCACCTGTTGCACCTTTGGTTTGTGGTCTGTCAAAGGAACTCTTGATTCACTGATATTCTCAATAAAGTTAAATTGGATTCCGTAATAAAAATTAATAAAAAACTGATTGGATTCCTTCCTAATTTTCTAGAACTTTGTGCGGATCTCTTGGGTTATGAGCGGTCAATTCAGATCCGTTCATGCAAAGCAATTCCCTTGGATTAATCTACGTATGTGAGCGGTCAAATCAAATCCGTTCATGCAAAGCAATTCCCTTAGAGTAATCTACGAGTGAGTATGTGTGTGTATGATATGTATAATTTCCAAACTCATGCAAATACATGCCAAATTCGAGTTCGAGATCGAGATAATTGCCTGTTTCTTGGCGTGCCCGGCGAGGATTTGGAGAGCCATGGAGGAGATAGACTGTGGTGTGAGTGCTGATCGAACGAAGCGGAGAGAATGAACTCAATGTTGAAAAGCCCTAATGTTAGTAATGAGCAGCTCGAATTTTACTCAATAAAATTTAATTCAATTTCATGTGCATGATTTAGTAATGCTATTTTCTCTGTATGTGTGTGTGTGTGTTTTTTTTTAATCAAATTTTCTCTACGTTTATGTAATTAAAAATGAAGACGTGTGATAACACAAAAAAATATCGCCTAGTAACAAGGCCTAGTAACAAGCAAATGTTGTATTCACTTAGTAGATAGTGCGTTTTTCTTATTTAATCCAATGTGTTCCGTAATATGGGAAGATGTGAGAAGAAGAAAAAAAAAAAAACACTAAAACTGTTATTAAAAAGCCTTGTTGGAAATTCAACGCCTTACTCTCAAGCGAAAGAAAATTACACGATCGCATTTTCATTGACTACTTTTTCTTGTTCGATCTCGATATTCCAAATTCCAATCTATTCTAAACTATTGTGAGACGGGTGATTTGAATCAGAATTTAAAACACTGTTTTTGTACATGTCTATTTTTGTTCTTCTTCTTTAATCATTTAAGTCAAGTCCAAAATCAGATTCTAATTTATTCTTCATCCTTAACAAATAAGTTAATCTTACTTATTATCGACATGACTGCTTAAATTTATTCAAATTGACTAAATCAATGTGTTACGCCCTTGTACTCAAATTCGATTTCGCAATGCCTCACATTAAGTCAATAGTGCGTGACACGGACATATCGCTTTTCTTCTATATCGTCAATAATAATCATTTGAGGAAATACCCACATTGACTAAACTTTGACCCTTGCCTTGCCCAAACAAGCATACCCCAGTCCATGATATAAGTGCTGTAAACGGACGCATATACCCTCCCCATTTTCTCAAAAATTACAACATGCCACCGGCATTTCCTCGCTCGCTCTCCCTCCTCCGTCTCCCAGTCTCTTTTGAAACTTCCATCGATGACGGAGAATTGCATCGGCAAAGTTGCAGTCACTGGTTTTCAGGGCTCTCCGGCGAGGTATTATTTTCGTGAAATCTTCGCTTGTGGTTTCACCTGTGTTGTTTCCGGTGCTTTTTCAGATTGAAATTTGACAAGCATTTAGGGTTTTTGTTTCGGAATTTCCCGTGTGAGAGAATTAGGGTTTTGAGTAATTCATGTTATGGCCCTTGTTTATGCTGTATTGACTGAATTTGAGTTAGGATATCTTCTTCTATGATTGTATTTAGTTTCTAATTTGCATTGCTTTATGGTATAGTTGTTCATAGGTTGGAGCGAATGGTTTTAAGCAGCTGTATTTCAGTAATCAGTATGCTTTCTGTAAATCCCCACTGGTTCAATGGGTTGGTTTCGGCCCAAACAGTTTTGATTAAGACATTAAACTTTTGTCTGCAAGGATATGCTTTCGTTTTAGTTGATCTTGTTAGCATTGTTATTAAAACTGGATTTAATTTGGAAAAATGTATAGTTGCCACTTGCCAAGGTGATTCATGATATGTTGAATGACCGTGCTTTTTAGCTATGACTATTTCCCTCTTGTAACTCAGCTTGCAATGTAATGTGTGTTTATGGACCACCTTGATTTCCATAACTTTACCTTTCAACTCTGTTTCTTCGTGTTTGTAATCAGAGTTTTGAAATATTGTACCTGTGATTTACTGGCGAAAATTGAAGCTTCACGTTTTCTCTCTTTAGGTATTGCATTTTTTTTTTTTCATGATTTATGGTACATAGAGAGGATGTTTTTACGTTTAGCTTTCTCTTGATTAAAGCTTGCTTCTTTAGATACAAGCATACATGAATTCATGCTGTCTGAATTCATGGCTGCATGCACGGGCTCTTTTCCTCCGGCTTTGATCATATGATGGTGTCGGCAAGTACAAAGTTGGTTCTAATCATCTTTATATTTATGACTTTCATCTTAAGATCAAAGTCATGAAGGAAATGTACTTACCCCATTACCCCATTACCCAAAGTTGCTACTAAATTTCAGCATGTATGTAATCAATTCATTTTGCTCTTCTCATAATTTGTTGCTCGAACTTTCACCAATAACCGGGGATTCCCTGCAAGGTTATCGTGATGATGGTCTTTGATCGATTCTACCTGGATCTCCCTTTTAATTATTGTACCCTTGTAGACTGTTTAAAATGGATTATTACCGCACCAGTAATGCTAATAACATTATTCGCGACAAAGTTTTGTTACTTCTTATATTGCCCTTCTTTCCCTTACTCGCGTCTGTTCTTTCTGTTTGCCAGCACGATTCTCTTCCACAACAACCAAAATCAGGGCAGCTTGAGACGCTAAAATTGTTCAAAACCATGTTGGAGCGCCTCATAGCAGTCCTACATATATCCAAGAGAAGCATTTGGCCTGGTTTGAAAGACGTGTCGGTCTCATATGAGAAGCAGATAGTAAATTTTGTTAATATAAATAGACCGAGGAAGCAAGTTCCTCCTCTGCAACAAGGGCAGCTCCCCCCACCTCATATGCACTCCATTCAGCAGTCGCAATCTCAAATTCCTAAACTTTGGTGCTTGACCAAAGAGTATTCAATGGTTAAGTTAGATTGCGAGGAGGAAGAACTGCATTAGAGTTTCTTCTTGTTTTCTATCGGCCTTTGCTACTAGGAATGCACACTTATTATAGAGGAGTTCTAGTTTTATTAGGAATGTGTGATTCGATTATGAGCAGGTTTCTTTGTTCCAGTTATAACCAAGGGGTCTCACCCTTAACGTAACTTCCTGTAAGAGTTTGGAATTGAATTGCCTTCTAGGATGGTAGTTGCCAGAAAATGCCGGAAAGGAACAGTAATTGGACCTGGCTCGACTTTGCAGTTTGCTTTGATCATTATTATGCTTCATGGTTAAAACTTGCAAGCTATTAGTGACAAGTTAATTATTTGCTATTAGTGAATTTGAAGCTCTTCGTGATGGTCAAATGATAACAATTGAAATAGGTGATATTTGGTTGCATTTAAGGTAGTTATTTTGGTCATGACTTAAACATGGCAAACACCATTGCCCATGTTTAGAGATGTTAAAACTTGGATTTCCAATTACTGTTAGTGTTTCTAATATACCCGTGCATCATATCTTGAATCCCAGTACACTGACGTTGCTGAAGCAGACCATTCTTTAATATTAGAGCATTTTCAGCAAGCAACAATGAGGTGGAATCCAGAAGTCAGTGCTCAATCAGCAGTTGATAGTGAGTCTGTGAAAGATGAACGAAAATCTCATATGATAGTTGCAACAGATGCATGCCTTCTGCTGCTTTGCTTCTGGGGAGTCACCTATAGCTGCTCGTGTTCTTAGAAATTATGAGTTACCGACAAAGAAGGTACAGTTCTCATTCTTCCTTTGGGAATTGGTACTTAGATGTACTGCAACTTCATGCATCCATTTATGCTCACAGTTTCTCTTGTCGTGCCATGTTCAATGTCGTTAATGATCGAATTCTGTGTTATAACAGTTGTTAACATGGGACTGCATGTGTTTTTGCCACAGCTTCATCAAATGAAGGATGTAAATGACTTGAAGATGAAACAGGGGATGGGCGTTAAGCCATGGGTTATTCGGCAACATATGTCCTCATGCCAGTGTTATCATTTCCATCAGCAGTTGAATATTTTGCAGTCACCAATTCAGCCATTAAGACTGCTTGTTCCCACAAACTATCCCAACTGTTATCCAATACTCTTGGACAAGTTGCCAGTTGAGTCAGGTGAGAAAATAAGGACTCCCCTTTGACATGTTGCTATTGCGAATTCTTGTTGGATAATATGATGAATTTTTCCTTTTTTTGACTTTATGTACTCATTTTGCTTTCATTTGTTGAATTGGAAATTAAAAGCGTCTCTTGCTTTTACGCATGAATTTATTAGGAATGCGTGATTCGATTATGAGCAGGTTTCTTCATTCCAGTTATAACCAAGGGGTCTCACCCTTAACGTAACTTCCTGTAAGAGTTTGGAATTGAGTTGCCTTCTAGGATGGTAGTTGCCAGAAAATGTCGGAAGGGAACAGTAATCAGACCTGGCTTGACTTTGCAGTGTGCTTTGATTATTATGCTTCATGGTTAAAACTTCTAGCTATTGGTGATAAATTAATTATTTGCTATTAGTGAATTTGAAGCTCTTCGTGATGGTCAAATGATAACAATTGAAATAGGTGATATTTGGTTGCATTTAAGGTAGTTATTATGGTTTTGATGTAAACGTGGCAAACACCATTACCCTTGTTTAGAGACGTTGAAACTTGGATTTCCAATTACCGTTAGTGTTTTTAATATAGCCCGTGCATCATATCTTGAATCCCAGTACACTGACGTTGCTGAAACAGACCGTTCTTTAATATTAGAGCATTTTTGGCAAGTAACAATGAGGTAGAACCCAGAAGTCAGTGCTCAATCAGCAGTTGATAGTGATGAACAAAAATCTCATACGATAGTTGCCACAGATGCATGCCTTCCGCTGCTTGCTTCTGGGGAGTCAGCTATAGCCGCTCGTGTTCTTATAAATTATGAGTTACCGGCAAAGAAGGTACAGTTCTTATTCTACATTTGGGAATTGGTACTTAGATATAGCCGCTCGTGTTGCTTTTTGGGATGAAATTACTCTAAATACACAGGAAGCAGCTGAACATAGAATTGACGGGGATGGATTTATTGGGAAACGGCACATAGTGGTTGTTAAAGATCTTCCCTTTTCGGACCAAAGGTTAAATGGAAAGATCCCAAGGGTAACAACTTTCAAAGTTAGGTTAAATTGTTATCTTTTCCTCTATTTTCATTTAGTTTGTTTAATTCAATTTGAAAATTCTATCCTGATCATGTTGCTATCTTTTGTCATCTGTCATTTTCTATACTTTTTTTTTTTTTTGCAAACATTTTTGTTTTCATGATTCATGAAAGCTATTGCAACATGGAATCTATTTTCAATAATTACATCAATAACTCCAGTAAAATATGATTACTTAAGCGGAAGAATATTAATCAAAGGGACGCTGGATCTGTTATTCATGATATAATAGGTTTAAGCTGAATGTCAAATATCCAAAATTTCTGTTACAAGTGCTAGCAAAATATCATATAGGTGTATGTGGATATATCTCTGAGACTTCGTATATTTTTGCTGGCGTTAGATGCTGCCCCATCATCTTTTTGCTCATGCAAAGTATTCCATTTGGGTAGACTCAAAGTCCCAATATAGGAGGGACTCTTAGGTGTGCTCGAAGTCCTGCTTTGGCGTTCAAATTCTGTACTTGTGTCTCAGAACATGGAGCACGGAGTAGCATTTATGATGAGGTGAAGGCTATTGTTAAAAAAAAATGGGCCAAATCAGAAGAAGTTGAGGTGCAGTTGACTCAATACCAATATGATGGCATGCCAGAAGACAAGAGGTTCAATGGAAAGAAGGGTATGCTTCTTTTTCTTTCACTTGTCCTGGCTTGATCTGTCTTATGAAATATTGCTATTTATGATGCTTCATGATTGTAGCAATTCTTAATTCTTTGAGTAGCAATCCTTGAATTCCTTTGCTTCTTTGTTGAGTAAATGTTTTTGAAGTAGGAGCAGTTAAGCCCACTGCATGCCTTGTTAGTGCTGGCCTTAATTCTCCACGAGAAGTGATTTACTCCTGGGTTTTACCGAGTATATCTTAAAATTTTGACGTTGAGAAGAAAATTCGAAATTTAAAATGAATCTGTTTATTCAAGTTTTCTTATATGTTTATTCATGTTTTCTTATCAATTTGTCTGAAATTTAAAACCAATCCGTCGATTGCCTTAATTCTGCATGTTTTGACTTGCTCCTCTGTGCATCATACTCATACACTGATGCTAGGAGCCAGTCTGCTCCACATCAATCTACTTCAGATTCATATTTTCCCAACTCATGTTTAAAGTGGGTTATGAGCCCTTCCTTGCCGTCTGCTGCCACCAAGCTTATTTAGATACTTGAGAGTTAAGATATAACCATACTTAATACGACAAACTCCAAAACTACAGGATCTAGAATCCAGTGATCCATTGTCTTGCAATCTGTTCCTATACTGAACCATTGCATCGTTAACCTGTGCAGCTTTATCTGAAGCATCTGTTATCGTGAGGGAGCATACACCATTGACTAATATGTTTATGTGCCTCTGGTTCAACGAGGTGGTTCAATTCACTTCTCGTGATCAGCTTAGTTTCCCATATGTTTTATGGCGGCTGAAAGTGCTTGAGAACGTCAACGTGTTCCCTGTGTGTACCCGGAAAGATCTCGTTAATAGTATGGGTCACATACGCAAGGCTAAGCCACTCGGAAGTTGAGTCTTAGGTAATGGGGTAGTGCTTCCAATTTATTGAACAGGGGTGCGCTGGGGCACTCTCGGGCATACCTGGGCTGTAGTAAATTCCTTCATTTGTTCGTAATTTCAGCTGGCGCTTCCATATTTGAATTTTGTTCATAAACATTTCTGAGTTTTCTCCATTGCACATCAAAAGTGCTCATAAAACAAGAGCTGTTAGATCCCGTTAGAACAATCAATCTAACGGCTCTTATTATAGTGTGCAACTCAAACTGCACCTTTCATGTGCATTAGAGAAATCCTCTTAGCATTTGTTGTGCAGGAGCAGGCCTTCTGGCCGGTGTTTGATTTTCTTGAGTCGGATCGGACCAGCAGACATGGAACGATTAATTTCTATTGCGCGTTATATGGAATTCGTCAGCAAGATGGATTGCCCTTGCAAGGTTATCGATCTCATACTAGTAATGTTAGTGATGCTTGTGTTGTGTAATCCGGATCCTTCTTTGAAATTCCATCAAAGGAGAACACAAAACCGTATTGACGGGATTTTTTTATTTCGGTCCGCGGTACTTGTTTACTTGGTATGTCAACTTTGCTCTAGGGTACCAGCTATTTCGAGTGTTTTAATTGTTATATCTTAAGTTTTATATTTTTAAAGAAAAATTGAACGGTTAAAACATTCAGAGTACGCAATCTAAGAAAGTCCCTTATTATTAGTAACAAATGGACAAAAAGTGAATTGCCACAAACACTTGTAGTACGAAAGTTCTACTATACTGCGATGACACGGACAATGAATGAAGTTAAATCCAAGACATCATATTTTTGAAACAGTTTAAGTAAAGGAAAGTCAGCAACTGTTTCGTATAAGGCGTTTAGATCATATGAACATTCATACTTAACCAGATAGATACTGGCAATAAAAAATTGGAGAGGACCTGTACAGACAAAGCAATAATGCTAAGATAGAAATCTCAGCATTAAGTTAGTCCAACTTAATCTAGTCTAAACCAGTTCAATTTAGTCACTGAAGCTAGTACAGACCGAAATAGTTTGGTGCAACAAACGCATCCAAAGTTTACTTCGGAAGCCTAGTAGGCATTTTCTTTTTATTACGTGGCACAATCTGGTGCCTTGTATATGTTTTCCACGGCTGTAGATGAAAAAGGAAGCCCAGTTAGGCATTTTCTTTTTATTACGTGGCACAATCTGGTGCTTTGTATACGTTTTCAACGGCTGTAGATGAAAAAAGAGCACAATAACGACAACCTAATGCCTAATAATCAGTTCAGTTTGGTGTTCTGGTCGGACTCCGTGTACAATTCTCTCTCCTCTTCCTCCTCCTCTCTCTCTTCCCTATCTCTCTCTGTTCAATCCGAGTTATTCAACCTATCCCAGATCGCAAGAAGATAAACAGCCCCAATCTTCTCTGCCCCACAACCCTGAAAATCCCAATTTATCTAGCAAGGAAATAGAAAGGCACATTCTTTTTCTTCCTTTCTCTCTTAGAAAATCCCAATTCCTAAAGCCCCAATCTTTTCCACCGAATCGGGTGATATTGCTTTAGAGCTTTTGGGAGACAATTTACCCTTGTTTCATCGAATGGAATCTGATCTGAAAACTTCCTCCTCCCCCTAGAACCCTAGAAAATCCCAATTCGTCCCTTGAAATCCTACACTGTTGAACTTTAGAGCTTTTATTTCGTTTTTCTGCGGTGTTGTAGAGATCCATGGCTCTTCGGCGTGTGGTTGGAAGTAGTAATTACATTCCGAAATTTGGAAGACTTGCTGCGTCCAATCGTCTATTTGGTATTGGAGGCCATGAAAGATACGTTTTCAAACCCACAAAAAACAGGAAACCAGTAAGTACGATTTGCTTTGCAGAATTCACACTCTCTCACTCTCACTTATACACTCTCCCTTTATTTGAATTTCAGGAAGGGTTTGATTATCATATGTATTTAGGAGGATTAGGGCCTGCCCGTTTCGCCACACTAGAGTTCAACAAGCTAAAGGTATGTATTTGTATGTGTATATATGTATATGTATGTATCGATGTATGTGCTTGTTAGCGAGCCCTAGTGGTTTTATTGTTTACATCTTATGGTTTGGTATTCTCTTCTAGAATGCGCAACTGCAGATTTCGAGAGTGTTGAGGGTGAAAGGCATGCACTTCAGGGAAGAGTTTCGCAATTCTTCTGAATTTTATCGTCGTTGTTACTTGATGATGTTGGAGGCAGTTGGTGCCGACGGGGTTAAATTATACAAAACAGAAATCCGTGTAGATTCTATTGACAGCAATATGGCTTTGCAAGACTTTTGTGTCATCGATGATAAGAAACGTCCTATAATACTATAGCATCACTTAGGTAACTGTATACACTTATTGCATTGATGACATTGTGCAGTTGCTTTGATCATTGTTGTATTAAGGGTTTAGGGCGAGGGCTGAGGTGGATAGATTGCTATGTTATGTCTGATTATGTATTTGAATTGGCATTGATCATCAGTTTATTGGCATGAAACAGATAACTTTTTTGCTGAATGATGCTTCAGACTCCAGTGTGCTGGATTTTTTCGGATACCTTATATTCAGGTTTGCATCATTTCTTTTGTTTTTGATTTACTGATGTCGAGATTTTCATTACTGAACCTTCATGGCTGAATGCTCGTCGTCGGTGGACGATTATTGCAACTATAACAGAGGCAAAGGAGGCGAAGATGCTGTGTGCGTGTCTGCTGGATGGGGCAAAGCAGCATGACGATCGACCTTCAGTAGTCTCCTGCCTGAAGCTATGTTATATTCGGATGCTGTAGCTGGATCTTCAATTTCAAATCATTAGTTTCTTTCTTGTTCGGTCGATATTTTTAACTAATCTAAATTACTGGTTGGAAATTTAAATAAGTGATTACTTACCAAAAAATAACATTGGTTAAGATCTTTAAACACTTATTGTAAATAATATCGTTTGTTAAATAAAAAAATAAAAAAAATCTTTGAACACTTGAACATGTTACTATATCTAGCTTGCAGCTCAACGCTTCGTTCAGTATCTTAAATTGAACAAAGTTGACTTATTGTTATGTTGAATGAAGAAATAGATTTGAACTTCTAAATTTAAGTTAAGTTGATGATAAAAATATAAATTAGTCGGGAACTCATAAACGATAGAATTCCAATCCAACGTGCATAATCGACTCACATATTGCACACAAAGAGCTGTGAAAATTTGAAATCACTTGATTAATGTTAATCATATTTTTAAATAAGGGTTATGTCATTAAGGCTAAAAATTAGAGAAATATATAAGAGCAGTTCCACCGGGGAACTGATAAGCCAGCACCTAGCCAAAAAACCAGCCTGGCACCCAGGCTATCCACTCCAGCCTAGCATTTTGACCGGCACCTAACCCAAGTCAGGCAAGAGACCGGCCTAAAATCGACAGGCCCACATGCTGGGCCATCTGATGTCAGTCGGGCCATTAACCTCCTGCACGATCAACACGTCGCAGAGAGATCTTGGTGCAGAGCTCCTCGAGGCTAAGGTTGAAGAAGGCCAATTTGTAGGCGGAGCAAAGGACGGTGGGGATGGGGGTACGCCCTCCTCGAGGCTGAGGTTTAGAGAGAGAGAGAGAGAGAGAGAGAGAGAGATCCCTTCCACTGTGTTCTTCCCATATCCCTTCATCTTGTTAATGTGTTTCTTTCTTCTACACATTGGAGGGGAGTGGTGGGGGAGCTTCTGGGCAGAGACAGGGGAGGGGAGCGATGGGGTAGTTTCATATCACTTCATCTTGTTAAATTATTATTTTATAATAAAAATTAATAATATTTTAATAAAATTGACTAGGCTATTTGGTTTTAGGGGTGGAGATGTTTTGGCCTATTACTGTACACTTAAGTCTATTACTGTACACCTGAGTGGATAAATGAACGAGATGCTGGCACAAAATCTTTAGGGTTGGAATTGCTCTAAGGGTCATTGAGGGTGTTGGTGTGCAAATGTTTGTTCCTCAAGACAAGCCCTTGTCCGAGAGTGTATATCAAGTGTGAATGATAAATGTCAAGGAAAGGCCTTTAAAAGGCCGACGACCCTTTATGTGTTTGTTTGTAACGCTAGACGTGCCACTGTTGGCTCGACATTAACCTCGTTTAAAGTGTGGTGAGGGGATTCAAACTCGTTGCTTAGGCTATTATATTCCTTCGAGCCAATATGATCATACTGATGTCCGTTAGTTATATATATAGAAGAGGCCTTTAAGAAAGGGATTTTCATTTTTTTTAATGGAATATTACCGGATCAGCTATGAAACTCACATTACATTGAACTTCAATAATATGAACCGTTTATTTTTCAAGTTGCACCTTATAAATCATCTTGCAAAATATTAGTCAAATCGGAAATATTTGAAATATCAAATTGGTTCCAAGAAATTAACAAACACTTTGTTCTATAAAAAACGATGAAATTTCATCATGATAACTAAATAGACAAATGGTTTTGGATTGAATTGAATTTCTACAAGTGAATCGATACTTACAAAATAGACAGTTTGAATTGTTGAACTTCGATATGGGATGGGTCCACAACTAATCCCCATTTTTTAAGGGCTGTAATTCATTTACTTTTCACACACTATTTATTAATTTTTGTTATTTGATATTCTTTAATTTATTTGATTTGACATCCGAAAATTAAGACACTACGTCTAAAGTAAAATGGGTGTGGATATATATATATATATATATCATATAAATAAAATAAAATATTAGTGAAGTTATTCAAAAAAAGAAAATTAGTGAATATTCCAACACCGCACTCGGTATCAAATGCAAGCAACCACCTGAACACCGCCGACTTTTCCAGCTCAAAGAACCTCTTCACAATCAACCCTCCGGCCTGTATCACCTCCGAAAAATCCTCGTCCATGGCGGTGGATGCAGCTATTGAAACCCTGTCTCCTCCGTTTCACTCTCCTTCCCATTTCAGCCCACAGGGCCACTTCTACCTCGCCGTCGACGGACACCATTTCAAGATGGTAATTTCTCCGCACCCATCTGCGTAACAATCGAGATTTTTGACCCCTGGGAGTTAAAAGTTGTGAAATTTAATTGTGCAGGAGACGTTGATGGACCTATTGGGCGTGGCGGGTAGGCGTCCGGGGTTGCCCATGGTGGTCTGCTGCAGCTCACGGGACGAGCTCGACGCCGTCTGCTCCGCCGTCACCAATTTCTCCTATATCTCTTTGGCTTCTCTGGTAAATTTTCAACTTTCCTTCTTCCACCCACACTCATTAGCCATTCCCTCATACAGTGTTATTGTTTGATTCAGTTCTTAAAATTTATGTACATGAGCAGCTAATGGTGTCGAAAAGCCTCAATATGCATCGACCCAAGGCGAATAACCCCGAGTTTTTCGTAACTTTTATGAACTCAGTTGTGTTACATAACTTATGAAGCATGTTGATTGAAAGCAAAAGGGTATGAATTTGACAATGTGTGATGAATAAAGTATTAGGATCATGTCCACCTTCATGCTGATAAAAAAAATTGGTCATTGGAAGAAGCTTTAGTGTGGGCTTGGTGCTCGACCAAAGAGTATTCAATGGTTAAGTTAGATTGCGAGGAGGAAGAACTGCATTAGAGTTTCTTCTTGTTTTCTATCGACCTTTGCTAGTAGGAACGCACTTATTATAGAGGAGTTCTAGTTTTATTAGGAATGCGTGATTCGATTATGAGCAGGTTTCTTTGTTCCAGTTATAACCAAGGTCTCTCACCCTTAACGTAACTTCCTGTAAGAGTTTGGAATTGAGTTGCCTTCTAGGATGGTAGTTGCCAGAAAGGAACAGTAATCGGACCTGGCTCGACTTTGCAATGTGCTTTGATTATTATGCTTAATAGTTAAAACGTCATTACCCATGTTTTGAGACGTTGAAACTTGATTTCCAATTACCGTTAGTGTATCTAATATAGCCCGTGCATCATATCTTGTATCCCAGTACACTGACCTAGCTGAAGCAGACCGTTCTTTAATATTAGAGCATTTTCGGCAAGCAACAATGAGGTGGAACCCAGAAGTCAGTGCTCAACCAGCAGTTGATAGTGAGTCTGTGAAAGATGAACAAAAATCTCATATGATAGTTGCAACAGATGCATGCCTTCCGCTGCTTGCTTCTGGGGAGTCACCTATAGCAGCTCGTGTTCTTATAAATGACGAGTTACCGACAAAGAAGGTACAGTTGTCATTCTTCCTTTGCGAATTGGACTTAGATGTACCACAATTTCATGCATCCATATATGCTGACAGTTACTCTTGTTGTGCCATGTTCAAGGTCGTTAATGACCGAATTCTGTGTTATAACAGTTGTTAACTTGGGACTGCATGTGGTTTTGCTACTTTATGCATTCCATGCCACGTCCCTTCTATTTTCTCATGTATATAGCTTCCTTCCTTACAATCCTCTGTGCAGGAAACATATACGAGGCGTATGACAACTTGTTTGGCTGGAGGTTTGTCCTACAAAGTTGTACTACTTTGTTAGTTGCATATTAATGGGGTTTGCTCTCTTGCGACAACTTTGTCTAAATGCATGCAGATGGGATTGTAATCAACATGGTCGTGGGGGGTGAGGTCGTAACTCTCAAAAGTCTTGAAGAAAGTAGCAACCTGGTCATAGCTGAGATGCCCATACATGTGAGTTTGTCAATGCTTACGTTTCCCACATTTTGTTTAGCCACCTTGTTCCTTTCTGTTTCTCTCACTGTCTCACATAGATGGGCACTCGTTTGATATATGGTTGGTTGGATTGCAGATTTCTGAGATTTTATGAAGAAATATAATGTGCTATGCTGGCAGACATGTTAGAGAAATGATTCCTTGTACTTGCTGCGGTGGTCGAAGCACTTGCGCGTGATCTGAGTGCCCTTTGAGTGGTTCCGACGATGTTGAATTTATACTGATTTGTGATTTTAGATGAGACTTGGTTTGGTATCACTTGCCTAGCGGATTATTGGCCTAATAGATAGAAGGAAAGACACTAGTTGGTTAGAAAAGCCCCGTGTAGCGTCCCTCTTTCGAGACACGGTTGGTTGCTTTTGAAACATCGGTAGAATCAAATAATATCAACGATATATCGATAGTCAATAATGAATTTATATGCTTGTTGATTGAATAGTCATGAATTATTAGTGCATTCTTCCGGTGTTGGGAGTGTCATCAGATTGTTTTAGGGCTTAGATTCGTGCGCGATTTTTAACTTCTGTTCTCTAAGAGGATGTATGTTGTGTTGAGTTGAGTTGGCACTTATACTACTTCACTCTCACAAGCTATCTTGTTTGAGGACTTCCATTGGACGAGTACACTGCCACTGTGGTGTCTGTTACTGCAATTAGGGTTTTCTCCGGCAGTTGACTGTGACATCTAAAGTATGAAGGAAAATTTCATTCTTTCTTTTGCACTGCGTAGGATGAACCAAACCAAAAGCACCCGTATAATTCCATTGATGTACAATCTGTAATTCTGTAAAATGAAATCAATATCCAACACCAATTTACTTACAACAATCATGTGACTGGTTATCTGCCGTGCGCTCTACTCTCGGATCTTTTGAATTCCAATCCAACGTGCATAATCGACCCACCTGTTCCACAATACAAAGAACCTTATGAGAATATGAAGACTCAGAGCACAAGAAACCAATAAAATGGCATTCAAGGAGAACTCAGATCATACATCAAGGAACCCAAGAACGTGTTGCCAGTTCGAACAGCAAAGCACATTGCACTCAGTATAAGCTTGTGTTGGTGCAGCAAGGGTTCTAGAAGGCGTTGTTCAATTACTCCGGCAAGAACTTGGTACCTTTGAAAGAAAAGAAATTTCATCATGCACGGTTGGAATAATTAAGCTATGATGAATTTCCAGATTCTTCAAACACATCACTGACTATAGTTCAGACACATAAACAAGAATGTGCATCTTCACAATACGAGTTGAGGAGTTAAAGATACTCGGATTGTATTTTAAGATATCCTTTCACATACATTGCTGTTGCAAGAATTTTGTAAACGGTTTCTTCCGTTACCACGTTCTTGGAGACAATATATGGATTCAAATAGTTAGAAGAGCTTGTTTCTCTTTAGTCATATGCTTACGACCCAAAGCTTCATGATAACCAGAAAGGCCCCAGTTCTATCTAGAAATGCCACAAATGGTTTTTTTGAAAAGATACGATTCTCCATGATTATGACAGTATTTAAAGCCTCGAAATTCTTTATGCATCAGTCAGTACAGAAATGTTTGTTAATGGCCTAAACTAACGGTTCGTGAAGGTTAGAGTAAACAATAAGTAGAATACTTAAATCTGAAAAAGCCCTTGTACCTTAGATTGCTAGAAACCGCCATATAAACTCCATAGGCCACACTAGTTGACAATATGGGAACATCCTCTGCTTCACCAGCAAAAGATTTATCGATAGCTTTTCGTGCATTAATCAAGGCATTGGTTACACCCGTACCAACCTGAAATGATTTTTAATCAAAATTGTAATCCATCATATGAGACCAAACGGCTACTATGTCAACAATATTGACATAGTCGAATAAGAGAAAAGAGAATCAAAATTCGAAGAACACTTCATATGTACATTCTGCAACAATAAAACAAGACAAAAACAATCTAGTAATGTACCAAAACTCCCATTTCTTTCTCTGAATGTATAATATTGCAGACAGCAATTGAGAATTACATTACTTTCAATGACAAGAAAGCACACCAGAGCCTCAGAATGGTGAATAAATTCTCAGACTGGTTGGAGAAGCTCATGCCTTTGTACATTATTTGGAGAAAAAGAAATTTGCAACTTTACCATACTTGAATGTTGATACAGCATTAAAACTAATGGCGTTCTACCAATGGCTTAATTTAAGTTTGCCAAAATTGAGTCCTGATTAGATTTAATTTTTAGACAACAAGCTCAAACAACCAGTGGTGTGATCGTTAAATTAGAATCAGTAATGGATTTTAATCTTGAGTACAGAAAGAAAATTTTGATAGACATACTGCATAAGTATCTGGCATGTTTAGTACAAATGCTAGTAAATTTAGCTTATATGCCTAACAAAAGCTGATATAGATTTTCCTGCATAACTTAAAAAGTATGAACAGTATTTGATGATTGCTGAAAATTCCTTTGTTTCCAACCAAGATAGAACAAATATCAAGTATCTTACGGGAAGCTTTGGCCATCTTCAGTGTTCTAATGTCACATGAAAAGTTCATGATAAAAGGGAAAACAAAGAGGACAGCCACAATGTTTTAGTGCGTATATGTTACAAAATATTCTAAGAAATGCTAAAGCTAAGGCATTTCGAAACATGTAAGGTGTTTCACTTACCAGAGATGCACCAGTCCCGACTGCAAATAGTTTAGCTCCATTTCTCTGAATAAAACGATCAAAATACTATAAACTCCAATGCGCCAAAACGTCAAATAATTTTAGATGACATAACACAAAATCACATACCACTATTGCGCCTATTCTCTGTAAGAGTGAGTAAGATGTTCCAGACAAAGCTACCTGCAGGCAATATTGATGACTCACATGATGTTATAGTTATACTATATGATAAAGTGGTAACTTGTAAAGCCAAAAATAATAAAGCAAGAAATAACCTGGAAAGCATTATCCGGACACCCATAGAAGAACTTAGCAATACGGCCTGCGCTGACAGCAAGAGGTGGTCGAAGTGAAACAGTAGGAGCGGGAAGCCAGACAAGCATAAAATCAGCTATGATGGCCATCACCTAAGTTTTAAAAAGAAAAGAAAAAATATCCGTTGGGGTCAAATGGAAAAATGGTGGAACAAACCAAAAACAGAAACACTACGAGAAAAGGAAGGCAAGAACATATAGCATGAATTGGACCAAAAGACTTCTGCTAGAAAGTTGAAGGATCGCTGCAGAACTTTTGCACTCAAAGCAACTCATAGCTTGACATAGATTAAAGCTTATGACAACAAACAGAAAACTAAATCTACTGATTGAAAAAACACAAGGGCATGAAATATATAAAAAAGAAGAGTAAAAATGACCAAATACATGAATATGATTCAATGATTCTGTAATTGGAAGTGCACAAATTGCACATAAGGTTGCTAACAATAGTTTGCATTGAGCTCAAAACGAACAAAGATAGTTTTCTGCATCCATTCCAATCCATGACCCAAAATAAAGAACATGCTTCGCTGAAAGGCAGAATTTCCTAGTTTAACTTATTTATTTCAACTTTATATCAAATGGCATATCTCAGATTCCCCCAAAGCGTTTCAGAGGATTGTTGCGCTAATTTTACAAACACCACTTGTATAAACTGCTCATCTATGAAGCAGATGGAAACTACTTTGATTTGCGATGATAATTTTCCATTATATAGCACAATGAAATCAAAGCTCTTATTTATATAAGAGACATACCACATCCGCAAAAACAAAATCCAGCTCTTTGGTAAAATTTTCTCGGCGCCGCTCCAATTCTGCAGCAGTCTGAAAAATGAGCAACATAGAAAGGCTTACATCCACACTCAGAGATACTCCAAATTGTACTTCATGTTCAAAAGTCAAGGATATCCAATGCATTATAGGGACACCATCTATGTGAAGACAGAAGGACTTACACGGAACGGGTTCACCGTCACGTGCTGTCCTTGACAGCACATGGCAATGCATTATATGGATAAAAGACGCCACATGGCAGTAAACCCCTTACATGTAAATTGTCCCAAATAAGAACGGTTGATGGCTCTTCCTCTCAAAATTCTAAGAATTATGACTTTGTTATATTTTTGGCATCAACAACAATAACCACATGCAAATTTGATCATCAAATTCTATTAAGAAGAATTTTACTCTTAATAAATCATACTAAATCAAGTGACATAACATGGGGAGGCGAGAAAATAGGTAGGGTGAAAATCACTATTTTGTCTCGTAAAAGGAAGAGAGTAAATGAAAAGCGGGGACCTTGGTGAATATCCCAACGCCGCACTCGATGCCAACTTTAGTCAAGAACAAGTCGTCCGCAAGCAACCGCTCCTTGAACCCATCAAACCCAAGCAACCACCTGAACACCGCCGACTTCTCCAGCTCAAAGAACCTCTTCACAATCAACCCCGGCACCCGCCCCGCCTCTATAGCCGCCGCCAAGTCCTTCGGCAGACTCTCCGACGACCTCCCAGCCTCAGCCATTGCCGCGAGGGCCTCCGCCTTGTTTCGATCTCGGTCCTCACCACTTCCATCACCGTCATTGTTATTACCTCCACTTCCGCCGTGTCCACCTCCGCCTGATGGGGGCTCACCGCCGTACGCGGCGGCTGCGAGCGGGGATCGGTGGAAGCGGGAGGTGGTGAGTTGGAGGCAGGGAGTTGGGGTGATTTTAGTGCGCGAGATGATGGTGAAAGTGAAGCTTTTTGGAGAGAGAGAGAAATGGCGGGGGGTGTTTGGTGAAGGGGGAAATTGAGAGTGAGAAGTGTAGAAGTTGGAGATGGTGGTGACTGTAGCCATTGTTGGTTGTTTTGCGGCGCTTTACTTTCACTACCTCCCTCCCTCTTTTCTCTCTTTCTCTCTCTCTCCTCTTTGAAGAAGTAGAGAGAGAATTGGAGAATCAGAAATGAAGGTTGTTGAGAGAAAATGGGTTGGTGGATCCAACTGGGTCTTGGTCTTCTTCCTCTTTCAGTTTTCGTATTTTTTGTGTTTTGATGAAATGATTTGAATGTGATTTTTTGTGGACAAGAAGAACCTATTGACTTTTGGGGAGTGAACTAAAATTCGAAGAAAGTGAATAATTGGACAGCATTCCACGAAGATTGATAGTACGATAAACGGACACGATTTAAGAATTTTTAAGATTCTCTCAAAGAAGATTCGGAGAGAATTCCATTCAATCTTTTTGACAGCCAAAAGGCAGTGGTAAAAATGATCTTTTTGTTGTAAAATCAACGGTGTGTGCAGTTGAATAAATAAATAAGACACAAAATTTACGAGGTTCCTTTACAATCAGTGTGACTAAAGTACGTCCTCGGAGCAACAGTGATGCTTTCATTTATAATCTGAAGTAATAAGATTACAAACATAACTCTCTATATTCTCTTCTCTCTTTTTCTTCTCTCTGTCGTGAGCCTTATGGCTTCTCTCTCTCTTCTTCCTTCTTTCTTTTCTCTCTTTTCAGCCGTAAGGCTTTGTGTTTTTGTGTGTGATTTTATATGGAAGGATGAGGCAGCAAGTGGATTAGTGGACAAACTTGTAGAGTTGTAGTGGGTTGGCCATCTACACATTGAATGACTTATAAGATTACAACACTCCCTCTTGGATAGTCATAAGCCTTCAATTGACTTGTTAAAATCTTGATTTGTTTTGGATGCTCCCCCTGATTTCAAATTCTTTAGGCTGATCATTGATCCTTCTGCTTTAGTCTCTTAGCGGGGAGAGTTGCCGAAACAGGTGCTTTACTTGTTAACTTTCCACATGCTTTTTCTTGAATTGGACTATAGGACTTTCTGCTAGACTTACACCAAAGGTCTGAATTTACTCATTTTATTTGGAGCGGACTTTGATTTAAGGATGGTGGACACTTGATCTTGAATCGGACTTGTGATTTCTTCAAGATCGTTGAAACTTGTCCTTGAATGAAATGGAACCACGAGCAACTCCTTATGACAAGTGATCTTCGGCTTCGTCGGGGATAAATCAGTTCGTGTTTTGTTGTGCTTGTCTTCACATGCTTGAATGTATCATTTTCGCTTGCCTTATTTGTTCCCCTTGCAGAAGTGATATTTCCCTTTGCAGGTTTGGCATCTTTTCTTGCAGTATTTGTCCTCTGATGTAGAAGTAGAATGCAAACCTTGCATTTGAAAGGTCTTTCAGAACATCACTTCTTAGTGACTCATCATGCTTGGCAGCTCCAATCATCATATCAGCAGTTTGAAAATGAGTACTCGAGAGCAATGCTAGGTAAGCAATTAGGAAAGTTTCCAGGTAGTTGGTTCCTGATTGGAAATTTGATGTCAAGTTCCGACTGATTGCTTTCTTTCTCCTTAGTCATCCAGGAGAGAATAAGGACAAAGAAAAAGACAGGGAAATTGCATGATATAAGATACTTTTGCTCTCGTCCCTGATGATATGAGATATTCTTGCTCTGGTGTGATTTATTTGAATAGGTATTCTCGAAGAAGAAGAAAACTGAGTATTTCGAGATGCTTTGTTGAAGATGCATTCTCGAAGAAGAATAAGAGTTAGATATTTTTGTAGGTCTGTCTTGTTATGGAAGATAGAGGTCGACATATATAGGGATTTCCCAATAACAGGTAGTGGTGATGTGCTTTTATTCTTGTTAGCAACTGTGGTGTAATTAGAATAGTAAGATTCACATGTTTTCAACTTTATTAGAGATCTTTGACAAAATTGCACATGATATCTAAAAGCTGAGATTGTGTCTAAGAAATGTTCTCGAACTTGATCCTGAAAATTTGGCTTTTGAAATTCGGAGAGTGGTGTCTCTTCAATTTTTGAACAAGTGGCCATGTTGTTTCTTCTTTCATAGAGGCATCAATTGTGCTCAAAATGTATGCTTGAAAAACTACTGCATGTAGAATTTTCCCTTTCTTGCACTTTTGAGATTTTATCTGACCTCCTTTTTCCTTCATCATTTCTGAAAAATAGCTTGCCTATCTAACATTTGCTTAGATTTGAGTCTTAAGAGTGGTATAGACTGAGCCGCATCAGGATAATATATGGCGCCCGTCCTTCTTGTCTTCTAATGGTCCTCTTATTGTTGGGGACTCTGTGATGAAGAATGACCTAACCGCTACAATGGTACCTAGGAATCTTCTCACTCCCAAGGATAACAGAATCCTTTCAAACCGGTTTGAGGAGTCGGTTGTTCAAGACTCCTTGGCTCCCAATATTCAGTGTGCGGGCTCTGTTTCTAATATGGGCCAACTCCTACTTGCTCGAACTCACCAAGCTGAATCATTGATGGCTGAGGTAGCAAGTCTTAAATAAGAGATTAGAGGGCTCAAGCACGAGAATAGAGTGTTACACATGCTTGTAAATAATTACTTGACGAGCATGAAAAGAAAGCTCAACCAGCTACTGGAATCCGAAGGTCGGACTCAAAATGACAATCAGGGGTTCAAGTCTTTATTCCAAAGACACCCATTGTCTCAGCCGTCTGGAGTTTCACCAAGTATTGAGGCTCCAAATAATCAACCTTTGGTGCCTTCCCCTTCTGGGGTACTTCCGAGTACTGAGGCTTCACATGAGCAACGCTTGGGAAGGTTCCCTCCTCTTGGTTTGTTTTAACTCATGTGTATGTAATTTCTCGGAGATATTAATAGATAAGTTTTATTTCATTCAACGTATTGTGCCAAATATAATAAAGCATATACTTCACTAAGATGTGGTACTTCTGGACCAAATATCAATTTATTTTTACCTTCACGAAGATAAATGATCATTCTTAGTGTCTAAATAATTTGAGTATTCAACTCATAATCTTCAATCCATATGATTCTTTATAAACATCATGGATAAGATTCGTGTCAGTATATTGTTCGATTCTGCAATTCGAAACAATAATTCTCTCAACACTTTATAATCTCTCTTGACTCTTCAGGAATTCCAATTTAATAATATCAAGAGATTTTAGTATGTTGCAACAATATCATAATGATAGTACTCACTAAGGCAATTCATATCATCCATTGGTATTGAGTACAATATTTATGCTTTACCCTTCTAGGGTTTTTTTCAAGCAATCTGAATCATTAAGGGATTTTCTACACTTCATGACATATTTTCCTTTGGAATTTATACAGAGCAACTTGCTTCCATGTATATTTGAGAGATTTACTTATGAAAATATGATGTGGGCGACTCATAACCCTTCCTATATAATTCTCCATTCATATGAACTTATTTATAAGGGCATAATTTCAGGTTTCAATTAGTAACCTTGTGTCATATCATGTGAGTGTAATTCATTGTATTACAATTGCCCATATGTAACCTCATTTGGTTCAACATCTTTTGGCACATGTATATAGGTCCATTTTTCCACGTTTTTACAAGATTGTAATGGAATTGCCTTTCTTCATTTTTGGCAAATAATATTTCCTTTTGTCGATGAACAAAAGAATGTGACTCAATATCAATACAGCTCATTGATGAATTTAGTAGCTACTTGTAAAAACCAAAATTACCATTGATTGTCATCAATCATTGATCCCATATTCTCATGTGCATGCACATGCATAAAAGCTTTTCATTTCTTTGGATATCCATTAACTCTTCAAGGGCATTACACTATTTCTTCCAAGATTGTCATAATTTAGAGAATGCGAATCATAACCTCCTCTAGAGCGTTATAGAGCTGAGATTTTAATCTCCACTTCCGGGAGTTGAGTTATTGGAACCTATATGTCTATCATGCTTCATGCATGCGACATCAACATTCCCATGTTTGCGGATTGTCCTTTTTGGGACATGTATTTATACAGTGACTGTCATGCTTTCGGCATGCAACAGTTATGCTTTAGGAATGCAATAGTTCAGTAGTGTCATATTCTTCTTCTTTCAAAGTATTGAACCTTTTGAATTTAAAGGTCAACCACGTTTTAGGCGTGTAACAGATTTGTTACCACATTATTTTGTCCAACAGGAATATCAATTCATGTAGGCACATTTGCAACAAGTATATATGATTTTATTACTTTTGTTGCATCATTAAATGCATCTGGCATTTGATTTGCATATCGTTGCATCATTCAATTATTCTCACTTCATTTTTATATTGATTGCTTCATGAATTAAAATAAGACAAATTCTCTTCGTTCTTCTGGAATGATATTTTCTCATCATTCTTTTGGAAGGATGTTATTTTCTCCCCCCAACGGCGATAAAACTGTCTTATCAAAATCCTAGTCTGCAAACCTGCGCGGTAAACATATCCTCAGCCAAGGGTTCCAAATGTTGAATGATAGATGGTGAATCAAATTCAACATAAATTTCCAGTTTGCCTTCAGGCCTCATTTTTAGTACATTGTGGCAGTGCAATAGACACATAGATAACATAATCAAAAACGGGTACATGTGTAATGTTTGGCTGGTGCCTAAACATGAGTTGTACTGATAAATATTGATGGTTGTAACTGGTCTCAACCAAACTTAATAGTGAATTATGTATAATGGTATGTCCACATGTAGAAAAACTTACAATTTCTTTTTCATGAGCAAAACGCGAGTAATCAATTTCATCCGCTTAATAAATGTTTCTGCTAAACCATTTTTGGGTATGGACATGAGGAACATGACGTTCAACATCAATTCCCATTGATATGCAATAATCATCAAGACTTTGAGATGTAAACTCTCCAGCGAATATGCATTATATCATCATTTACATACATTAAGGAACTTCTGGTTCTTATTTAATAATTTGTGGACTAATACTCTTATGTCCTTTATTACAATTAAGTTGTGGCACTTTGGCTCTTCAAATTTAAGGTACTCATCAAGGAACTTCATGTCCGATCTTGAGGATCTTGGGGCTTCATGCCTGATCTTTTTGCATGATGGAGCTTTAAGTCCAATCATTTTATGTGATGAGGATCAAGAAACTTCAGGTTCTTATCTGATCAAGGAACTTCGGGTCCAATATGCACTCATCGTAACAAAAAGAAGTAAAATAAATAAATTAAAGCAATAGGTGGTAATTCC